TCGCAATTTCTGACTTCTGATTGAGCAATAGATAACAGTTAAAATGCACCAGAATGCAGTATTATACATACAGTTTTTAAAAATTTTCCACACCGTGGGACACCCCCTCCCACAACCTCCCCACTCAGGGGGCTTTGCCCCCTCGTGTCCGCTTACTGCCCCCCCCCTGGCATTTTGCTCAGGCTACGGCCATGGAGGGGACGGGGGGCTCTGATGCGAAGCCGACCATAGCCCCCCTTGGTGTGGGGTTGAGGCCCTGCTGAAGGACTCCGAAATTTTTTTTTTGGTCTTTTGGAGAGCAAACAGTGTCCTTTTTGTACGGTTTAGAACTAAACTTTTAATTAGTCAAAATTCTAATTTCAAGAGGTGCGATATATTTTTCAGAAACCGAAGGGGGGGGGGGGGGGGGTCAGGACCCATCTGACCCCTCCTCCCCCCCTCTAAATCCGCCACTGATGACACCGGTCGGAATGAAGAAAGATTTTAAGTGAAGATGTAGTAGATCAATCAATTTGAATAGAAATAAGATGACAGAGATATTTTTCCTAGATAATTTCTTAGATAATTTTTCCCTTTTCTCAGGGGTGGAAGTGGGTTGGGGTGATATTTGACATCGTTCTTTCATTGGTAAGCTATCTGTTATTTTGCTCAGTTGGAATAGGAAAATAACATACGATATAACAGAAGAGACAAAACACTGAATTAATGAATGAATTTTATATACAAAACATTTTATACAAGCTAAATGGTTAATATTAGAAAAATATTAACAGGTTTCTATTCAGTGTTTAATCAACACACGCACACACATGTACATATTAAATTTTGTCCTTGGTTAAAGATCATCTAACATCAACAAAATTTACTCTTGTAAGAAAAAAATGAGCGTTTTGTTCAGGACAGTTAGCTTTCATCCCATTTATAACAGCACAACATCCAAAAAGCATCTGTACTTACACTTACCATTAAAATTTAATATATACATATAACAATAATAATAAAATTGGCAAAAAAGTAAATTGGTTTTAAAGAGACTAAATGTGTTTTCTATCAATAAAACAAAATGTTTTTAAGCTAGGACTATGAGGCATTACTTTTTCATCATTGTTATAAACCTACGTATTTCAACAAATAATAAAAGTGTTGCATTGTCCTAAGCCACTTGTATGTTAAAAGGACAGGTGTTTTTGTATTTTAATCATAAACATTAACACTTGTACACTGTATTTACATAATTTTCAACTATCAATGTAAATAGTGTTAGAAAACATTACAACATTTAATTAACAAAATTCCTCTGTTAATCATAAAATTGTGTATTACATGACTAATCGAATATACAAAAAGAGGCAAGGTTTCTTCATGTACCCATTGCTCCTTTTCAATTTTTTTTTCACATACAATAGATGTATGAAGGTCTTAAATATTCTCTCTAACAACAACACTTATATTCTATGTACCTGATTCTTTCTATGTCTATGCTGTGGTTGTAAACTCTAATCATGTTCAGTGGTAGTGCCTGAGTTCATCCATGTCTATGCTAAGGTTATAAACTCTTATAATTTTCAGTGGAACTGTCCAAGTCTATGTCTATGCTGTGGTTGTGAACTCTATCATACTCAGTGGTAGTGCCTGAGTTCATCTATGTAAACTCTAATAATATTTAATGGTACTGCCCAAGTCTGCCTATGTCTATGCTGTGGTTGTGAACTCTATCATATTCAGTGGTACTGCCTGATTTGCATCAAAGATAACATATTCTTGGTTGAGACTGGGGGTGCCAGAAAGGGGTGCTCCCTCACTTGGTGCTAGTCTGCCTGGGACCTGAAAATATTATGTACACTGTCCAACTGATTTCTGAACTGTATGCTTTAGAGAATCCTTAGTTTTCTGAAATTATCATCATTTACACAGAACAAAATTTTCATTGCAAATAAGTCATAATTTGTAAGAATGATTATGTATCTCTTTATTCTGGCTTTGTGATTTCATACTATGATTTTGGAATCTAACACCACAAAAGAATTGGGGTACTTTAAATGCACATTATGTATGTAAAATATGATACATAAGTGTTGATCATAAAACACATAATAACACAGTTTACTGACCACTATGGAATCAAACCCTCTGGGAGGAAATACCCTGGCTCTATCTTTCTTTAGGACACTCTCTGTCTTTCCCAATGCGACTTCAGCAAGTATCATCTTGCCAAGCTGAAAGTAATACCTTACCCAATAATTTTCTAAAATACACACTCACTGAAGAGATGTCTTTTTTTTTTTTTTTGTGAATTTTAAAATAGTTTATTTGAACAGATTTTTGATTGTATTCTATTTGTAACACAATTTTTGTTTTCTAATAGATGTCACAGGAGCAACAGGACTTGCATAAACAGTTTTGCAAGGAACAATACAAGGAGGAAGAAGACGAGGCAGAACAAAAAAGAGATGGGAGAATAACATCACAGATTGGACTGGGCTGAAATTGAGCAGCAAAACAGACCACAGATGGGAGTAAAGAGAATTGGTTGCAAAATCCTCAAGTGCCCCCACGTTCTACCAGACTCAAGTATAGGATGGGATAGAAATAGCTATATGTTTACTCTCATTTACAGTTTGTGGTTATGTTAAGTTTTATGTTTTGTTTAGCTCTATTCAATAATACCTTGGTAAAAACCAGTTGTCTGTTTGATAATTAAAGTACTTACTGCTGAAAACTGAGCTGCTTTTGATGGGAACTGAGAGAAATACAGACCTCGGCCATATTCACCATGAGAAAAATCTGAAGAAAAAACAGTTTTATATTGCAATGGTGTAAATATATCAGAATACAAAAATATTCATACACAATAATTCCATTTAACAGACAGTAATAAACCTACATGTATCAAAACATAATTTGCATACATACAGTATGTGCAATTTTAGCAATACACTTCAAAGAAACATTTTAATTAAACTTTTGAAAACAAACCTTCTTCTGAGAAACCATTCTTCATTATCTCTTGAATTCTTTCTGGGTGCTCCAAACTGCCACAGAAATACAGTCTCATTTTAAATGTGGGGTCCTTTAAATGCTGCAGTCTCATTTCATACCTCTCATGGACATTCTGAGTGAGGAAAGTCTGAAGGAAAACTGACTACTAGAACTGAACCTGCAAATACTTTCCAAACAGTTAAAAATGTAAAATAAAATAAGCAAGAAACAAGTTAAAATAATTTAACTAGCAAACAAACAAATAAAAAAGGAGTAACACTCTTATAAATCATATCAAATTTTAAATCTCCTGACATCAAACTCAGCTTTATTTCTTTACCTTGGAAATCATTGTAACCTCACACTTTCCTGGCATGTCTTTATCTTTCCCTATCCCTGCTTTGAAGTCTTCTGTCAGTCTGTGAAACTCTGCAATGTCTCTGCCATGGTCATAGGGCTCATTGGTGCCTCCCTCTGGTGTCACTACATACCGAGATGAGTCTGAAATATAAAAATAATATATATAACAAACGTGATTATTTAACTCCCCTGAGTCAGGTTTACTGAAGTGAACATAAAGCAGACCACACATGATAATGAATTGATGAAGAGTAAGTATTGATTGTCAGTTAAACCATGAATGTGACCCAGCAATCATGACACAACTTTAGGTTTGAAGTCAAGATCTCAACTAGCACATCATTTCATCTCACCCACTGCACTGAGAGATGAACAGAAATTTATTCAAAGATTTTATGGTGCTTCTAGAATGTAGTGATAGAAAAGGGTAAATGAATAAATAAATAAAGATTTCTCGGTCTGGTGCAGATTGATAAATTATAATTCATTTCTGGCAGTCACAGCATCTTCTAAATATTTAACATAAGTATATCAAATTACTACTTAACATTTTGTAATCAACTTCACTGATTAAAACATGGTGAGGGGAATGGCAAGTTTATTATTTACTGTTTATTCTAGTTACATTTATTAAAACTGGTATATGCTTCAAACTGTAGACTTATAATAGTATTTGTATTTCCCTAGAGCCTTTTTTATAAGATAGACATATTTCATTATTCTTAAGGGAAGAAAACTGACACTAGATTATTCTTTGACCAAGCTTATTTTGCAGAAAGCATCTTTTGACATTTAATCTTCAAGTGTTGATTTTGGATCAATACATATAACAGCTATGAGCCAGTATCCCTGCTTGTCAATACTGTGATCAATGAAGGTAGACACAATCAGAGAATTTTACCGCATGCAGGTTTCACATCACCTGCCTCAATGCAAAGTAAAAATTATGCAGTGCAAGAAATCCTGAGAGTACAATACATACTGTGAAAGCGAATGATAAATATGCTTCTTTTAAAACAATGAAACTGGATGTAAAATTGTTACCACATGAGATTGCAAACAATAAGCTGTAAAAAAATTAAATATTGGTCAAGAAAATCTCTTGTGTATATAGTGTTTAGGAGGGGAGAATTTCATGACACCTATTGATATCATTTGATCAAATATGACGCCAAGGTGTCACTGCTGTACTGGTAGTCTAGGTTTGGCCTTTCCAGATGAAATGAGGACAAGTCTTATCAAACTGATTTTTACATTAATTACAATTAATTCAATTTTTTACATATAGTAATCATGGACCACCATGCTTGTTTTTGATTAACATATACCTGTAGAGAGCTTCAGGTTAATCATGTTGCACCGATTTGTATTTCTATCACTTCAGTCATCAATATTGGAAATAAAGTGCTTGGAGCACAATGATGAACTGACTTCAAATTACAATGCCTCTCTCACTAAGCTCAGAGCCATTACTACTGTTTTTCCCATGTATTTCTACATACTCACCAAATCCTCCATCAAATGCATCAGACTCCTTTCTGTCCATCAGATTTCTGAACTGCAGTTCCTTCTCCATGTCTGCTATCAGTTGGTCTACAGAGATGTCGCCTTCGTCACCTGCACAGCAACAGCAGGTTAAGGATAAGTTTTTTAACAAAGAAAATTAATGTTTAGGCTTCCAAATACTTTGTTGTGCATATCAGTTGTTTTGGTTAATTGCCATAATATGTCAAAAGTTGTCAACAGACAGAACTTTTTTAAAGCTTCCTTCTCATCTCACTGCCTGCTGCCTACAAAGTTGCCACACATTCCATTTGATATATAAATTTCCACCTAGAGAAGATGTGTGCAATGAACACCTACCTGAGTTGTCATCTGATGCTTTGCTGACAGCTGCCTTGGCTACTGCAAGACGGTACTCCAAGAACTCGCGTTCTGAAAGCACAGTAAAATCATTCACAAAGAAAAAATCAATAATTTCTTATGAAATGCATTCACACTATTTAGACAAGTCACTGCAGCTCAAGGACAACAGGGCACATATACTTTTTGTTGTCACAAACATGACTTTTTGTTTGCAAAGGTGAAGCTTGAATTTCCAACAGTCCATTTAGTGGCCAGCTGTTAAATTACCCCCAGGCATACAAATAAATGCATGTGTACGCAAACATGCACAAATTTGTTAGAAAACATATTAACACATAAACATATTCATTGATTGACACAACAAGATATTCAAGCATACAGCAAACAAAAATCTGAAAATAACCTAAATTGTTTCTAATTCTATCCTTTCTTCCATGCCAAAATGTCTACACTGAAATTAATATTAAGTTACATTTCTGAGGATAAGTTTCAGTTGCCTTCACTTGGTTTGTGAGACTTGTTGTGTCTATTGTTATGAAGTGTACTGTTCTTATATTATGTGTTTGCACACTGTCATTATGTATAATGAAGTTCTTAGCTGTGTGTTGACGTATGTGACATTCACTGGTTTTATATTATACTGTATTTACACTGTTACCAGCTTATGCTGCAGTGTAAGTTATGTAATAATAAATCAATAGAATCATCTGCCAAACTCTTGTGATAGGCCTTATAAACCAAATTGCTATTTGTGACTTGGAGCCACAGATTTGTGATTGAGATCCCTGAATTAATTACTTTAACTGCAATTTCATAGTCTGATTGAAAATACTTGCTGTGAGCACCATGAATTGCAAACCACAATTCCCTTTACCTGCCTGTTTAGCACTTTCTGTACATGATGAAGATTGTCGAGAGCACATTACTACAATATTTTAATATTTATGGTCAAGAAAAAGAGCCTGTATGTAAACAGCACAAGATCTGGATGAAAGCTGCCCAAACTGTCCATAGTTTATAATTACATGAGGTATTTTTACAATCAGACCATGAAATTGTGGTTAAAGTCATTAATTCAATGACTGCAATCCCAAATCTGCAGCTCCAAGTCACAAACAGCAATTATCCCTTATGCGGCCTTTGGTTATACATGCCAGTACATGTGTCACACAAAGATCAGGACAATGACAGTCCAAAACACTGTAACTACATACCGAGTACCAGCTCAAACAGTTACCCAGACTTTAATGCCTGCCTAGACTGTGAACTTTCATTATAACTCGGGCACTAATGGCCATATCAATACAAAATTCCATCAATGACCTCTGGTCATAGCCCTCATAAATGGTTGACATGACAGAGCTGGGTGTTATGATTTGACCAACAATTTTCATTCACTGTTTATCCAAAGTAAACATACATCTTAACCAGATATGGAGTGCCCTGGATTAAGTCAATAACAGGGTCCATAATTTACCAAACTGATCACCAAATTATCCAATTAATGGAAATTTGTAAAGGTATTGGCTTTTAGTATCAGTGTATTATGTAACAGTTACAATACAAGTCATCAAGGTGTATATGTTTATTCAGATGTGCAAATCCTACTGAAATTCCCTGCCAAAAACAGAAAAAGAAAATTAACTATTTTCTTTAATTTTGTGTGTGTATTACTCAGAATTTTCTGGATTTACTTCTAGGACTATCAATATAAGCATACAATTTATGTATTCAGAACCATGTATTGGCCAAAAACATCCTTTTAACTGTATCATTTTCTGATGTAAAGGCTCTTGGCACCTAGTGATGTTTTAAAAATTATGAGACAAGAAAACATGCAAGAACCCTTGAGGTGGGATAAACTTCTTAGCAATAAGGTTCAAGCTCTAGGAATGTCATCTTAGAAAACAATACAAAAGCGGTGCACAAACTATGGTGAGCTCATTCTGTTGTGCAATACAATGTGGGTTATAATTCTTCAAAACTTTGAAGAGAAAATAGCCAGAAAAAAAAGCTGTGGAAAAATTCTCTGAATTTTTATTCATTACCTCAGTGCACTTGCTTGTCTGCCATTATATCTGACTCCAGTGTCCTCCAAATCCAGCAAAATATTGTTCTATTTCACACAAAGGCAAAAGTTTTTGTGGTATCTTGGATGATCCCCATTATCATTTCATCTTACTAAATGAGTGGTACCCTAGACTGGTTGACTTGCTCTTACAGCTCTACACATTATTTGCAATGCTAACAAATAACTATTCAGAAGGTAAGAATATTTGCTTGATCCATTAAAGCTAGTTTCATGGGATTCTTATTACAATATAACCATGAATGCAAAGGTGTCTTGTGGACCAAAGCAAACATGCAAAGCAATTTACATAACAATACTCTGCTAAACATCAGTGATTCTCTACATTGTTATCGTTATATGAAACTGGGCTTTTAACAAAAATTATAATAGGCATTTTATTTGAATAAAAAAAACAATAACTAGTTCTTGTAAAATGTTTGCATGTTCTTGACGAATCAATTAAAATAAAGGTATGGAATTGTCCCTGAAGATGTATGATCAAGTTGTTGAAAACAGTTTAACACGATCAATACAACTTTAAATGCTTCCTAAGAAGTCCATTCCAAACTATTCTTCACCAGACACTTCATATATCTAAACCAAAATTAGAATCATTTTTGCCACTTAAATGCTGTATTTTGTCAACACCAAACTAAAAAAAAATGAAACCACTGTTACTGAAACAAGGAAGATTAGTGCAAAACAGATGCTTTTTTTTAAGTACTAGTTTTGAGGAAAAAGTAACATATTCCTGCACTCTAAAAATATCTTTAAAAGAAATAAGTTAAGTCTGATGTTGGCACACCACCACAATTACTTACTGAGTTTGTCTTCTGTTATTGTGCAGCAGAACAAAATCCAGGAACATTTATACAGTATGTCATTTACACTTACTAGTACAAACTTCAAACTATGGTAGAATATTTAATATATAAGCACAGTTATCATATAAAGTTTTAAAAATATATGTGTAATTTCAACCATATTTGAATGTGTAAGGTTGTTTTGTACTCACCATGCATGAACTTTTCATGTCCGAGGGATTCATTTTCTTGGACCAAACTTGATATGAGATCTTGCTGAGATGTCACCTTTAATGATAAGAGACTGAATGAATGAATGGATGAATGAATGCTCTTTTCAGTGTACGGAAACTCACAGATGTACAATGTAGCTCTTAGTGCTCCAAAAATGATTCTGTACCATTTTCTTTCAAATTTCTAACCTAAAATAAAGTCAAACTTACTAAAGCTCTAAGGTGGATGATCTCACTCCTCAGTCTGTTCATACATGATATCTCAGCCTGGTAAGCTTCTAAACTCTTGTGTCGCCTGGTTTATATACATAACAGAACATCAAAGCATGATACACAGTAAATACGGATGTGTCAAATGATGATATAAGCTTGCTATTGGATTCATGGGTGAATTAACATGATTTATCATTTTCCCCACATTCCAATTAAAAATTAAATACAGTGAGCCCATTGTGGGTCACTTAAAAAATCCCCAAACTTACCACTTTTTTATTTCCAGCTCCATCAGCAGTATGTCCAGTTCTGGTCTCTTGTTGCCAAGGACTCCTTCAGCTGTAAATAACAAAATGTGGCATAAGAAGAATGTTATCATCAGTACAAATTGAAAGAAAAATTGATAAGATCAAGTTTTTTTTACTAACAAAAACATCCATTCTACAGAACCTTTTCCTGACAACATGTGCCCAACTTTGTTTCTTCACTTACACTGTTCCTCAGATTAGATGGCAAAAGATATACTAATTACTTTTATCTAGAACCCAAAACCTTGATTAAATAAATTTGTCATTATGTTCTCAATGACAATGATGAGAAAAAAAGGAACATGCACAAACTCGAAAAAAAAAGGAAAATAAAAAGATGAGAAATACAATATTAAAAAGTTTTGGGAAATAAAAAAGATTTCTAACATTCACTGAACATCATCCAGACATGTCATTAGAAACATCTTTTATGCTCTTAGTCCGAGTATCTAGCAGCTTCACTGTCAGATCTTATATTCGTTCAGCATATTTAAATGTACAATTGCATTTTCTTTACAAAAAACACTCACTAGTGAATGGTGGAAGATAAGACATCAATGTGCACTGTGTGAACTGCTCTGCAAACTCACTGTAATCAGACAAAAACAAGACAATAAAATACTCCAAATCTCAGCAACATGCTAACAACAACGACAACACACTTAATCCATTCATGTATAATCTGTGACAAAGACTTTAACAATTTTCAGACCCAATTACCCTCTAGTTTATTTTACTTTTTTTAAAAGTGTCTTTAATGTTTAAAAACACTGAAATAAAACTGGAAAATATAATGTTTTAGGAAATACCATTTACCAATTACAGCATGTAATACAGTAATAATGACTTACTCCCATCTGCTGTTGAGGACCACATCATCACTGAAACCATACCGCTCAAAGAAATCAATGGCGGAGTTGTCAGCATGGACCACTATTGCATCATACTGGCCCACAACTGACTGGTCCTTGATTTGCTGGAAATACATCAGATTATCACTGTTCAAAAAACATAACTTTTTGAAAGAAAGCATATGTCTGACAAAGTAGTTGATATTTGTAATATATATATATATATATACAGGTAAATACAATAAAAAAACTTAATTTGTATGATATGGAGGTCTGTTTAATAAGTATGAATGTCTAATCATGACAGTAATAACTATCTTCTTGCTAGTACCCATCATATTAAAATCGAAACTGTTAATGTTTTCACAATGGTTGTAAAATTGTATTTTATTTGTAGTTCGTAAACCACCACACCTGGATGAGGTATTTTCCAATGCCATGCTTCCTATACCTCTGGCGCACAGCTACCAATGTTAGGTGAACTACGCGCTCCCCTGGTTTGCTGAAACAAAGATAATCACATCATCTTTCTGCCATCTTTAGTGCATAACTCAAACATAAGCAGGAACTAACAGTTGGAGAACTATGTGTAACAACCAAACTGATTTTTTTTGTAAAATGTATTTCAAAATTTAAGCACTTCTTAAAGACAATATGGCAACTTTCATTTTGAATGCATCTGATGAAAATATCACTAGTACTAGTATATCATGAAAAATGCAATAACAACCTGTTTATAATCTTTAATAATGGAGAACTCACCAAAATTTCTTCTCAAATGTTGCACATGCTACTAGTCTGTTTTCTATGCCTACATGGTTCACATCATATGATCCTTCATGACTGTCCCTGATCTTCTTTCTCTCTTGTACCAGTTGTAAAAAATGATTTATGCCCTTTGAGTAGTCTTCCTCCTCTTCATCACTAATAAGTACAGGAAAATGCAGATTATATTTTCAAAATTGATATGTTCACTTCAAAAATCATCAAGAATTAGCGGACAAATGTTGCAATAAACCCCTAATAAATTGTACCTTGGCCATTTCACAGTATTTTAGAATAAATTATTATTAATAATAATAATAATAATAATAATAATAATAATAATAATAATAATAATAATAATAATAATAATAATAATATTGATGATGATGATGATGATTAAAAGTAAGGGTAATTTTAAACACATCTGAAAAAATAAGTTTATAGTTTCGCTGATATTCTGTACTGGATATTTAATTATTATGATTTTATCTTGTTCTCTCTGTAAGCTGAGTATTAATATTTGTCATAGTATAAGTAAATACCAGAAGTCCTACAGTATCAATACAAATTTGCAAATCATATAGCATCTCACCTTTCTTCCTCTTCCTCCTCATCTTCTGAATCACTGAACACAGGTGCAAATATACTTGGCTTATCTTCCTCCACTTCATAAATATCCTCTTTTTCAGAGTCCTCTTTTTCTATCTCCCCATTTGCTGCAACATCATCTTTATCAGATTTATCTTTCTTCTTCCCACTTTCTTTAGAACAAGCTGTCTTTTTAGAATCACCAGCTGCTTCTTTTTGTTCAGAATTATTGTTTGAAAGATTTTGGTCATTTGTTTCACTCCTTTTTTTCTGTCTTCTAATTTCAAAATCTTCTAGAACATCTGGAAATCAACAGATTAATTCTTAGATGATAAAAAATTTGAAAAAAAAAAAAAAAAAAACAATATATATACAGGTGAAATCATGTTTCCATTGGATGGGTGTTTATTGTATTGGTGCATACACACTACAAAATCATTACTGCTGACATGATTGAAAGTATGCAAATATGGATTTCCACCGTTAAATCATAATTAACAAAGATTAAAAAAGGCAAATAAACAAACAAACAAACATTTTGAGTGTTTTTCTGCCTTAATTAGGAAGGTTATTTGTAATAAATGTTAACATTGTCTTCATACATGTTTGACATCATATACCAATTAGTACAAGGCACTAATTACCTCCGCCAAGGAGGTTATGTTTTCACCCCTGTTTGTTTGTTTGTTTGTTTGCTTGCCTGTCTGTCATCAACATAACTCAAAAAGTTATGGACTGATTTTGATGAAATTTTCAGGAACTGTCAGAAGTGGGCCAAGGAACAGATGATTAGTTTTTGGTGGTGATCCAGATCAATAATCAATCAATAATCAATAATCAAAAATATCAAAAATTTAGGGGTGAAACGACATTGGATGGAGACTTTGCTGCCTTGGCGGAGGTCTGCACTCTCTGAGTGCTTTTCTAGTATTAAGTATCAAATCAATACCAAATGCAAGCAACTACACTGTTTTCCAAAAGGGAACTCAGACATTGATTTATTCTGTGCAGAAAGCACACAAACAAATTATGCAATGTTATCCAATACTATCGAACACCTCACACTAATCTCAGTATACAAAGACACACACAGTTGACTTTTACTACCACTGATTAATCTATTGTTGCATTACTACTAGAAAACAATTCTCGTGACATTATGACTACAGTAATCATAATAGAAGGTGCAAAAGGTGATGAGGGCATTCTATAATCACTGACTTTATATTGGTTATCATAGGTTCTTACACAGTCACTTTCAAAACCTGTATTGCCACAACAACAAATAGAATTTCAAAATTATCTTGATATCAAACAAACAGTAAATGATATCAAAAGTCACATTTCATATTCATAAATAACTGTATTTGCCACCAAATAATTCATCTAGTCATATCAAACATCCTACCTTTAATATCTCTGATTAGCACAATTGTTCTTGCCCATTTTTCACATACTGTAGAATATAATACATCGGGTGTCATTTCAGACAAAGATACAGAATACAGACCAACAACTGCATGGAGAAGTTCTTTGTTGGGGACCTGAAATACAAATTCTGTATGTGTATGGTTGTGTTCAGATTTAAAGTTATCAGTCCAGCAGGATTGATCTATCTCAGTGGTGATTCTTGCTAAAGCTCAGTCAATGCAATCAGCTTAATTGTCTGGCACCCCCTCTTGCAAAGCAACATGAACAACATCATGGAACACAATGTTTTCTTGACCTTACCCAAGTACTTTAAGTTACAATGGGGCAGTCGAGATAATTAAGCTGATTACATTGACTGCAACTTAGTGAAAATCACCGCTGAGATACGTCCATCTGCTGGACCAATAACTTTTATCTGAACACATCCACTGTGTGCAACTTTTAACATGCAAACCAATGCTGGCTTACAAATGTGCATACAACACATTTAAATATTTTCAAAATCTGTACATTGCATGTAACTAAGAACATGATGTTTGTAGGAAAAGATATCTTTTTTTTATCGGAAGAATACAGTAATTGGACGGTCATGCCCAATTTTTAACTTGACCTGAATTTAGCCTAACAATTAACCCAAGCAGGTTTTACCTTTAACAGATTCATCATTTGGATGATACAGTGTTCACAAAGGCAAAAGAATTTTAAAATTATTTTAAAATGAAAGGAAGAATCAGTTCATGTCCATTTAAAAACTTTGCCTGCATTTTACCTGTAATTAAGGCACAATATAGGCACTAAAAATGAGTTTGAAGCAAAATGATAATATTGCTTCCCTGTTGTGGGAACAAGAAATGTGAATGGTTTCTGATCCCCTGCCCTCATCTCAGGTGACATCGACAAATGGAGGGAAGTGATGGCAATGTGTACAGACACTACTCTGCGTCAGTACTGTACATAAAAACGGGAAAGCACTTTTTAAAATAAAGTCCCATTGGCTAAATATTTGCAATCACTGTAAGACTTTCAAAATAATTTTTAAAGATTTAAAATAATTTACCAATGATAAAAAACAAAGGTATTTATTCCATCTTTTCTCTTTCAGCCCTCCCCCCACCGCCACCCTTCAAACAAGTACAAATGTGCTTCGAAGTGACAGCGTCAGGAAAACATCTCCCTTCAATACACTTAATAAAGTTTTAGATTAAAACATCGATCATCTTGAACCATAGCCCTGGATAAAAAAAACTCTTAATAAATAAAGCATCGAAAAATTTTTCTAACACAGCTGCCTTACCCCAGGTATTATATCGATAGTTTCACCAAGTTTTGAACTTTGCAGCAAACGTCTGAAATCAATGATCAGCGGAGTGACCGTGGTGTGTTTGCCCTTTTTGTTCTTAAACGCTTGGCTTTCAGCAAACTTAGCGCCGGAGAGGATGCTTGAATCGATGGAACAATCAGCAGGGTCTTCATTTCCAGCATCATTTTCTTCAGTATTTTTTTCGGGTGAAAAGTCTACTGGAGAGAGGCGCGAAGTGACAGCAGCAGCCGCCATACTGTCAACAAACAAGTTCCGCGTGATAACGACGATTTTACTGCGAGTTGATTGGATAAAATTATAGGGAAATAATCCTGCAGCGCCCTCTACAGGTAAAAGCACGTGTGGTTTATTAGCAAGTGGACAGAAGTGCATCCACAAATTGTCAGTGATGGGAAAAAAGAAAGCCAAGAATGATAACGGAACAAAAGACAAAGATCGAGATGTTGTTGACGAACAAAGTAAGTAGAGTGCTATCGTTATATGTGGCAAAATAATACATTAAAGTGAGTAATATGCTAATGCCGAGCAGTATGACTGAAGACCGCTGGTACATGTTCTCAGTACATTGTAATAATGGCAAACATTGAATTAGACAGTGAGGTGAAACATTACAGTGTTATCTCAGTGATCGGCTCTTTTATATTGCGGCATAATGCAATAACTATTGAAATTATCCCAAATTGTTTTACGTTTTTGTTCATTTTATTTCAGAAAAGAAAAATTATTCTTTACCAGTCGGTCCTGGAGTAGATGAAGATCAACTCCCAAAGGTAATTGATGCAAAATTTTCGACCTCATCGCAAATGTGCAAGAAGGAATGTATACCATGCAAATGAGGTATACAGATTTTCTTGCAAACTTAAAGTACTCTTGCAAATTATAATTTGTAGCAGCTATACAAATTTAGCTGTTCAATATTTACCCTATAGGTTTGTTCCCAGAGTTTGGTTTTCTTTTCAACCCTCAGTATGCATAAGTTCATTCAACAAGGTGACTGATAACGTGTATTCTTAAGACCTGATCAGCAGATATACAGAGTATCAGATCTATTTATTTTTACACAAATTATAAATGTACATTTTCATCAAACAGTTTTGACAATTGAATGCATGTCCCCATAGGAATTTCCACAATATATCCCAAGTGGTCAGTTTCTTGTAAGTGAACAGTTTGCTGTTGTTATTTCAGGTATCTATTCCTAAGGACAAGGAAGCAGCTATCCTTGATGTGATCCAAGAAAGTAAAGCACAACATAAAATTCTAGGACTTGTTTCTAACAGACTAACTGCTAAAAAATTAACTGTAAGTTAGGAAAACATTCAGTAGTTTGTCAGTTATTGAAAAGTTCCACTTGTTGTTTTAATTGTGATAAAGCAGTCATTTCAAAGTATCTGATAAGGAATATTTCAGTTATAGACTCCCTTTTTTTGCTTGGTTTAAAAGAATTTTTTTGCAAATCAGATTAGATGAGAAGTTTGCTTTTTTATTGAAACCAGAAAAGCCTTTATTTTTTGAGATAATTATATTAGATATTTATTATTATTATTATTATTATTATTATTATTATTATTTCTAGGACATGTACAACAGTTTATCTGGAGCTGGTTTCAGTCATGATCAGATAGACAAGGCTCTGACTAACACTGTCATCTATGGAGGAGACTTGATTGATGCCCTGGACTGGCTCTGCTTATATACTCCTAATGGTAAGGGCTTATCAACTCCCCAAGAAGGATATGTTTTGCCTTTGTTAGTGTGTTAGTTATCAGTCCATCTTAAAATGTTATGGATGAATTTTGATATAATTTTCAGAATAGGTCAGATAGATTTTGGGATCCATTAATTAATGATTTAAAAGATTATTAGAACAATGATAGAACTGCATTGGCAGTTTTCTAAAAGCATTTTCAAGTTTTTGTTCTGTGCAATATTTTGTATTTATCAAGAGCAGAAAAGTAAAGAAATAGGTAAGGAAGTGTTATTTTAAAGAATCAACTTGAGTAAATTATATGAGTATTATTCTAGACAAACTACCAACAGGCTTCTCTCAGACATTTACTGAAGCAGAGGCAAAGGTGAGGCCTAAGTTTGTGGAAACTGTGGCTGAGGAGGCCCAGAGTAGTTCCAGCAAAGTGCAAGAGAATGCCACTCCAGAGGTGCTGGAATCTAAAGACAAAACTGCAAAGGTATAGTGTAGTGCATCTTCACAATAATATAGTTATATAATTGATATTTTAATTTGCAAGACAGAGACAATGAGCAAACTTTATAGAAATGCTTTAAGTTTTTCAGATTTATATACTGTAACATTATGCCAAAGAAAAATTGAACTAGTGGGCTGTTAAGTGCATTGTCACATGCTGCACTGAATTTGACTACAACTTGGCCATATGTTACCTATTGTTTTATGTTCTGAATTGAATCAGAATGTCTTTCTTTTTTGCAGGATCAAAGTAAAGAAACAGATATGAAGTCTTGGATACTTCAGTACATGGAGGAAGAGTCAGATGATGAAGAAGATTTTGATGGGGGTGGAAATGTGAAAGAAGAAGACATAGACCCAGTAAGTGAAAATGTTTGAAGCTAGTGACATTTTGATAATTTCCCTTTGATATTTCCAGTAGACATATGGTCATAATCTGGTATACTGTAAATAGTCGTCATCTTCATCACCTTTGGCATGGACATCAAATAAATTATTGTAGAAGAGGATAGTTGTGATGTTCACATTGTGTACTTCAGAATGAGCAGTATCTCCTAGCTACTGCCAAGCTGATGGATGCCAAGGAGGAAGCTAGTCAAGCCAAGCAGCATGGAGACAAGAAAACACAGATGGCAGCCTCAGCCAAAATTAGACAATACTTACAAGGTACACACTGCATTTTTTGTTAACAGACATTACACAATAATAGTAGCCTGTTAGAAAATTTGTTACTAGTCAGTTATTAATTAACAAAGAAATATGTTTATAACTGTTGAGGTGTACTGCTCTCCATTGAAAAATAATATCATAAGTTAGGCTCACTTGGTTGAACCTTAATCGTCAGTTTTGGTTTTAGGTCATTGATCTTAAATTCAAAAAGCACACTTCATCTCCTTCTCCTTACTGTTCAATCCATCTATAAACTTGCAGTGTCATCGAGCAGTCAGTGTGGCAAAAAAGTTGTCAAATGATAGGACAGCCAATAGTGTACTTCCTGATGTTAGGACTGAAATCTTTTTCATAAAAACTTAATCTGAGTGAAGATTAAGATGATTTGTTTGAGATTGAATCTAAATTTCTTGTGACAGACCTGTGTTTTTTTTATGAATATTGGTATTTACAGTATGTTACTTTTCTTTGCAGAGATCTCTGTCCTAGAAAAGCATCCAAATTTTAACCCAGCTGTAAGTATCAAAGGGGTCAAAGAGGAGGTCAAATCGGAAGAACTGCTGCCTCAAAAAGAACCTGCAAAAGATGTAGAAGAAGAAGGGCTTGGTTTTGCACTATTTGAGCAGGCTGCTGAAAAAGATGGTAGGTGGTTTCTTATGTATTTTTTTATTTTTACAAAAAACTTCAACAGTCTAGTACAGATATTTCCCCAAAATGTTTGGGCATTAGGCAAAGAAATGCATTTGCATGTTGTAATTTGCAAGGATTGAAATGCTCTTTTCAGAAAAGCCTTCTCCTACCAAAGTACCATCAAGAAAAGATTTGGATATCAGAACTTTTGAATATACCAGAAAACAGTGGACAGGGAAGTCTCCCAAACAGTTCCTGATTGACTGGTGTAGGAAAAACTTACCCAAAAGTAAACCACCTTCATTCCACAGAATAGATGTGAGGTCAAACTTGTTTAGGTGCAGGTAAATGCTTCTAATTGGGATTTAGTGTTTTATTTACTGTTAAAGTTTTGTATGAAATTATATAGCACATTTGTGACTTAGTATTGTAAAGTTGTGTCAGCATTTTCATTAATCACTGTCCTGTTGATTAAAAAATACTGTCTTGTGGCCATTATCTTTGTAAAATAATAAACAGATGATGTTTATCACACCGCTTTATTTTTTTTTTGTCAGGGCAAAAATTCAGCGCAGTAAAGATGATTTCTTGGAAGTTTGCTCAGATATTGTGTGTGAGAATGTAAAGGAGGCAGAACATGTGGCTGCAACTTTAGCTTTGTACCACCTGTGTAAAGGACAGGTAGATTTAATGTCTTATCTGATGAAATTTTACTCAAAAGTATACATCACTTACAGCTTTTCTACTCGCAGAGATGTATTATTTGCAACTTAACAGCTATTTCAAGCACTGATGTGGTTTTACTTGTTTCCAATAACCACCTGTCATTGAACAGATTAAGACTTCAGTTGTGAACCAAGTTGTACATTTTTTCCTGACATAATATGTTTTCTATGTTGTAGAGAGTGTACCAGCTGCTGCCGCCACCATACAGAGATGTGTGGATGGAGTGGCAGGACGCAGAGACCAAACAACATCAAGAGCGTAAAGAAGAAGCCAATAAAGTAAGTTGGATCATGATGCAAGCATTTTGGACAATTATCAATAGTAAAAAAATTGTTAGCAATTAAATGTTTATCAGATTTTAAAAAAAGAAGTGGAAAAACTTCAAGGGTTTTTAAATTTGGTCATATATGGTATTTATATCAGACTATAAAAATACTTTTCTTTCTTTTTTTTTTAGCCAAGAGATCAGCTAGTCACAAGATTGTTGAAGAAACTCAAGTTGGATGCTGACAGCAGCACACCATCCCTGACAAAGGAAGAAGAGCAGACGGTGGATGCTAGTGAAGGATCATGGGAAGATCTGGCTGATGATTGGGTAATTAAGATATTGTTGGGTTCATCTTAATTTGCTCTTTTTGATATTCCGTTTGGTTAAGTTGGTCAATAATACTATGCATGTGTTAGAGTGTAGCACTTTGTTAAATGACTCTGTAAAGCAGGTTAGTTAGGAGCCTCTCATACATAGTAACAATTTAGCATTGGCATACAGTGTTCCAATGTTTTTTTTAGGAAATGACTGAGCCAGATTTACCTACACAGACAAAACCACACCAGCAAAAGAAAAAGTATCTGTCTGAACACATGAAGAGGGAATTTCTAGAGAGAACTAAGAAATCAAACTATCAGAAGCTTCTTGAGAGCAGAACCCAGTTACCAGTCTTTCAGGAGCGAGGAGCCATTGTTGATGTCATCTGTAGAAATCAAGTTGTTGTGATTGCTGGAGAAACTGGTAGTGGGAAAAGTACACAGATACCACAGTTTATTCTTGAGGTACTTATATCATTGCTTTAGATAGAACACATTGAAAACAATTGCTTATAAATATACTTTCTTTACTAACCTTTGTTAGAATGGTTTGTAGAGAAAAAGTAATAAATATGAAGTAATATTTTATGTATGCTGTTCTCTCTTTTCACACCCTCTGCTTATTTAGGAATATCTAAGACGTGACAGTATAGAAAGTTGCAATGTAATTGTCACTGAGCCACGCAGGATCTCTACAATCAGCCTGGCCAACAGAGTGTCAGAAGAGCTTGGAGAGGGGGCGCCAGGTAGCAAGACAAGCCTCTGTGGCTACCAGATCAGGTTTGAGTCCAGGATATGTGACACTACCAGGCTTGTCTACTGTACCACTGGGGTGCTACTGAGGAAGATGCAGCAGGATGCCACTTTACAGGATGTTACTCATATTGTAGTAGATGAGGTATAAGATTTATTTAGCACATTACTTTTCAGTGATTCTTTCATGTATATTCAGAGGTCACTTTGAATTTTTGTTGTTTGGAATTATCTTAAGAAGTCTTACCATTGCATTGCAAGTAAACAGGGTTCATTGAATTATTGCATCAAAAGTGGATAGTTATCATGGCACTGTTTTCTCAGGTTCATGAACGTAGCATGCAGTCAGATTTCCTGTTGGTAATACTGAAGAAGCTGTTGGTTCTGAGGCCTGACCTGAAGGTGATTCTGATGAGTGCAACTGTGGACAGCCACAAGTTCTCCTCTTACTTCCAGCACTGCCCTGTGCTGCACATACCTGGGAGAACTTTCCCTGTAGAGGTATGTGAGAAAATACTAGGGCACTGCCCTTTTTTGTAGGGTGTACTTTTAAAATGTTAGAAACATTTTTTTCAGTGATTCCTTTGTGACTATTAGGCAGATTATACATGGTCATTTTCAATACCATAGAGCATTGTGTTGAAATAATGTCTGCATACCAAGATGACTTTAATAAATAGTATTGCTCTGTTTATGATAAGTCCACGGTATGTGGATGTCACATTGCCAATTACTGTGTCTTATAATTGATTTGTTTTTGCAGGTGCTTTATTTGGAAGATGTCATAGAAAAAAGTGGTTATGTTTTAGAAGAAGATTCCAAATATGCCCTAAAGAATCAAGAAAATGAGGTACATGCTTTAATTTACAATTTTAAACACTATTTCAGTTCATATTAAAATATAAGTGTTATAAGGTTAGAAAGCTGAAAATGTGGTAACTGCATGTGAATCTTTTTCTTTTGTTTTCAGGAACATGCTGTATTGTCTGTGACGGAACATGGAGGAAATACTTCCAAAATGGATGTTTACTGGACAAAAGATGATCCTTCTGCTGGGGATGTGGTATGAATCTTTCAATAGTTATGACTTGTTTACAGTTATTGTCTTAAATCATTGATATAGTCATTGATATTGAGTTGTGCTGAAATAAAACTAATATGTATCTCACTTGTTGTAGAGTGGCCTTGACCCCAGTGTCTATAGTTTGAAGACAAGAAAAGCAGTTTCACTAATGAATCCTGAGAGAATTAATATGGAGCTGATTGTGGTAAGCAAATGTGTCTCTTCTGGGGTAAAGATTTTACCTCAATAATTGCAATTCAATGAAGCCAAAATGAAGAGATGGCGATAGCTATGAAAATTATAAAAACCATCTAATTAGTTGTAGAATACTCATATGCATACACCACTCAAAACACATATGTATTTATTAATTTTATCAGTACCAATTAGTTTTTACATTTCCTCTCCAGGATCTGATCCATTTTGTGGAAAGTTCTGCAGATTTCTGTGGTCTTGATGGTGCTGTACTGATCTTCCTGCCTGGACTGCTGGACATCCAGGAGTGTTATGACAGCCTCATGACAGACAAGACATTTTCTGATGAAAGCAGGTGAAAAACATCATTTCATTAAATAACAGTGTGTTATTTTATTTCAAACATGCAGTCCTATTGAAGATTTTCAGCAGAAACTAAGAAGGCATTCAGCAGAACTATATTCAGGCATAGACCAACTCTCAGATGTAGTTCACCAAGGTACATCCTCCTTTTGGACATCAAAGAATATTTCATATCAAAATGTGTACTATATACTTATTGTGTATATCTATTTGTGTGTTTCAGATACTGGATTGTCCCCCTTCACTCTGTCTTGACATCTAAAGATCAAAGTAAGGCATTCAGTATCCCTCCCAAGGGGATCAGAAAGGTAGTCATAGCAACCAATATTGCTGAGACTGGCATCACTATTCCAGATGTGGTTTTTGTCATTGATTCTGGAAAAGTGAAGGAAAACAGGTAGACGCACGTGGGTGTGTGCACGTGCATGCGTGTATGTGTGCGTGTGCATTCGGTGTATGTTAGACACTCAGTCTGTAGTATTTGTTAGATGTGATTTTACATTATGAATGACTGAGCTGAAAGTGAAAGGAAGTGTGGTATGATGGTAATTAATCTTTTTAACAGATGAAAAATTTTGTTTTCAACTTGGGAAGTATTTTTGTAAAAATTGATTCTTGAACACATTATAGAATGTGGGTACTTGTAAGTGGAAAGAAATTGGATAGAATTGGCAAGCTAACTTACTAAAAAAGACTCTGAAATGTTATTATTCAGGTACATAGAGAGCAAACAGATGAGCAGCCTGGAGGAGGTATATATCAGCCAGGCCAGTGCCAAGCAGAGACAGGGAAGAGCTGGCAGAGTGAGACCAGGGGTGTGCTTTAGGCTCTTCACTAGACACAAGTAAGAACATGACAGGTCCCCAGGGCCAGTTACCCCAGTACTCTCCTGCTGCAACTAGTACTACAGAAATTACAGTATTGACTGGATTAGAAAATGCTTCTAGGTGGGGCTAAACATGTCCAAAGTTTTAGAACTGCATACTAAAATTGTTGTTACAGTTTTGATACATGTCCATACAGATGTATGTGAATAATAAATGTTGCTCCTATTAGGTATGACTCAATGAAGTCCTACTCTACCCCAGAAATATTGAGAGTTCCTTTGGAAGAACTTTGCCTCCATATCCTGGTAGGTTAAAATTCATCATGAAAAGTAATTATCTTTTAGACATCATTTTAAATAATAAAGAAAAAGTAATAGCACCAACAACTTTTTATCTTTATAATAGTTTTTCTGCTGAATTAAATTTTTTAAAAACGTTGGAATTTGATTTTTTGCTAGATACCAATATATTTGAAACAAGTTAGATTGGTAAAAAATGGTTTAACATGGTTTTCTTGAATTTTTAGAAAACTGAACAAGGAGATCCCACCACTTTCTTATCCCAAGCCCTGGACCCCCCTAAGGCACAATCTGTGACCAAGGCCATGTGCTTACTGAGGGAGGTAGGGGCTTGCACTGGTCAGCCTGCTGCACTGACCCCTCTTGGTCACCATTTGGCAACACTGCCAGTCAGTGTGAGAATAGGGAAGATGTTACTTTATGGTGCTATGCTTGGCTGCCTAGAGCCCATTGTAAGTTTGACACAGGACCTCGGCTCCTTTCACTTTTACCCTTCATCATTCTTGTCTATTGTTGTTGTTGTTTTCTTTCTTGAACATTTCTGTTATTTACTTTTGATATTGAAGTCAGACTTACATATATTTCATGAATAAATGATAATGGAACAGTAAGGCATTCATTTTGTACTGCACCAGTTAAACTGGTCCAAACGTGTACCTGTTGCTACTTCAAACTACTGCTCTCTGTTGTATTCTAGTCTGTGATAGCTGCAGCTCTGACCAGCAAGCCTCCCTTTGTTGCTCCATTTAACCAGAGAGAACAAGCCAATCTGGCCAAGCAGGCTCTGGCTGTAGCTGCCTCTGACCATCTCACTATATGCAAGGCTTACTATGGGTGGGTGATGTGCAGAAGGCATTGATCTTTGAATTATTAATTTTTATTTAATTAGTTATGGTTTAATAAATTATCAGTTGTGATTTCAGTTTGTTATAGATTTTTGTTGTAGTATAAATTTGGATCGTTAAGAACATTGTATGAATGGTAATGAGGGTGGAAATTGGTGTATGTTATGTCTAAATAGCAATTATAGACCTTTTGTTTTTAAATCTCTGTTGTTGCTTTTTAGTTGGAAAGATGCCCAGACACGAGGAAGACAAGCTGAAAGTTCATACTGCCAGAAACACTATCTGAAGAGGCAATCATTGATTGAGATGGAGGTGAAGTCTGATATTTAACTGGGCAATTTTGTTAGACTTGAGATGCTTAGATACCATTCCTTTTCTAGATTGTTAGATACCAGAAAATGATTAAAAACTTAAAAATGGTGTGTGATTTCTCCTTTTTTATTGATATACATTATAAAACCTAATAGGTAAATTGATTTTCAAATTGCAGAATGTAAAAGAAGACTTGACTAAACTTATCCAAAAAATAGGATTTGACAAGGAAAGAGTAACACAGGTCACTTCTCAAGTTAACACTTCAAAAGCAAAAAAAGATGAAGTTTTAGAGATCAGTAAAACACCAAGCAGTGATGCTTCCTATAGTTTCAATATGAAGCAGATTTCATTAGTAAAGGCAGTGTTGGCAGCAGGACTGTACCCCAATGTGGCGCAGATCAGTTATGAACCGCCTGTAGATGCTGTGGCTAATCCATCTAGAACTGTGTGTACTGGAACAACACCACAGGGAACACTACATGCACATCCTAGTTCTGTAAATAGATTTCTAGAAGCTAATGGCTGGCTGGTGTACCATGAAAAGGTTAGGTTATTGTGTGTATTTTTATTGATTAGCTGACTTCCAGCAGACTTAAAAAGACTTAATCTTCTCATGTTTGCAGAAAGTTGTGTATCTTTAAAGGCACACTTTGTAATAAACAGACAAAATAAAGCACAATAGTCAATATAAATAGTATCCAATTATCATATTGTAGGTCAAGTTGTCGAAGGTCTACATGCGGGACAGCACGCTAATTACCCCATACCCTATTTTGTTGTTTGGAGGAGACATTACAGTACAGCATACACAACAGCTCATCACTGTGGAAGACTGGATACAGTTTAAGGCATGTTTAATTTTTTTAATTGTAAGAGAAAGGAATTTATATACATTATATTGGGCTTGAAACATTCACCAGTTTGACTAAAACATTTTAAGAAAGCGGTGTACTTACACCTTGGTATAGGCTGTGTGTTATGAAACATTTATTTGTATTTTGTATAATTGTATTGTTTTCCAGTCTTTTGCCAAGACGGCTGTGATATTCAAGGAACTGAGGACACTGATTGATACTCTGCTCAAAGATAAATTAGAAAACCCAGGCTTGGATTTTAAAGGTAAGCTTTGTAAGATTTCCAATATATTTATTTTGTTTTTATAGTAATGAAAATTCTTAAAATTTCAGCAATATCCCCTAAACACCAAATATTAATGATAAATGAAAATAGGACAAATTTTCAGGAACTTCGCCTTTTTAAATAAATGTCTATCATACCTAAATATCCCTTGAAACTCTGGAATTCCTTACAGTATAATGCCTGCATATTGGTCAGCCTTACTGTCCAGTTAAACACCCATAATTGTTTGTTTTAAAAATGCATTTTAAAGAGAAAGTTTTTTGATAAAATCTCCGTCGTGCAAAGTTGGAAACTTATCAAGACAATGGTGTTTTTTTTTTTCATTTCAGACAACCCTGCCATTTCTATTTTGATTGATTTGATTACCTCGGAGAGATTCAAGTCCTAACAACACTGTCAGTGAGGTGGTTTGGGGCAAATATCAGGAGAAAAAATTATTTTAGGGCCATTCTTCATATTGAAGAATAAAGCATTTCTATAATAATTGTACTTCACAGTGCTCTTTACTGTACTTGGGCTACAGTTGTTTATATAAAAGCCATACGTTTTAAATGTATTTTATTTATTTACACACAGCAACAGCATACTACAAATATGCTTTACTGCAGTGTATTATTGAATTTTTAAAAATCATAAAAACATATTCTACTTATGTTATGTAAAATAAGTGTCAACTGTCTTAAACAGGGCCTCTGATAAAGAAGTTATACTGACTCATAAACAACTTGAGCTAATGTGGATGGATTCATTAATATCACAGACAATTCAAACTGTAGGCAATGTTTCCAATAAATAATCTATTCATATACAAAGGATGAAAACAACTGTTCTTTTTATCGTCAATTATTGATGTGATATCAGAGCACTGGTGCCATGGATAGCTCTGGTTTTACTCCGTGGTTTTGATGCTGGTGGTCTCTATGTTTTCTGCAGGGGGATTCACCAATATGTTCTTCACATGCTGGAAAATAATGACCCATAAATGTGAACTTGTGAATGACTAAATGCTTTTAGATGCTCAACGTAACCAGACAGACGGCAATTCTATCAAATACACAGAATTACTAAACTGTTTGGATAAGTATGCATCAATATTTTTTAAAAACAACTACATATATAGCCACCAAAGTATCATAGCCACCCTTTTGTGACAGAAAATTATATCTATATATTATTGATAAATAACAAATTTAAAGTCTGATGCTTTTGCTAATCCCCCAGTGTAGTAGCTGTACATACTGGTGTTTTGAACCTCCTGTGTGTAGCCAGGACATCTTGTATGAAGGGGTGTTCTATCAGTGTGATGTAAGGAATGGGAGCACCTTCCTCTCCCTGCTCCAACTCTGCATACACTGCACTCAGCCGTTCCTGGTAGAGATAAGAAACTAATTCATGACCAATCCTTCAAATATAAACACATTTGAATGAGCATTTACTGAGCCCACACTACCAAAACCTATGTCCATGATCAAAGATTGCAAGCTTCATAAAATTTGACAAGTAGCCCACTGGCTAAAATAGGCATGAAATAATGAATAAAATGTTGCTTGATAAGGCAATGCACTTGGTATATAATTTGTCTAAGATCTGCATTTGCAATGAACAAACTATTAAAGCTCTTTTAATTTTTGTGTGAAGAACTTACCATAGACAATGCATCCTCTGGATCCACGGTGACACTGAAGCGGTGGCTGTCACCTTTAGGGCGCTCACCATGATGGAACACCTACATGGAAGTGAAGAACAGCCCAAAATGAAATGACTAAAATATTATGCATATCTGTTTTTTTTTTAAATATACAGTAAATAATAAATAAAACCATGCTACTGCATTATCTCAATTTATCTTGTCCAGGTATTGCTCAGTTACCTTGTACAGGGCCTCTATGGGTACAGTGGCCTCATTGGCAGACTCTGGGATGTCATCTGGGATCTTCACTGTGTCCAAACTAGACAAGTCCCCAGTGGAACTAGATGGAGAAACAATAACTTTTCTTACGCTTATTCTTCACTCAATATATTCAGAAACTGACTTTTATTCTGTTGCTCGTAAATAAAATGCATACGACTTGTGTAACTTTAAAGTTTACTTCTATTCAAACAGGGTTTGTACCCATTCATGATGCCCCCCCCCCCCACACACACACACACACATCTTGTAGTGAAGTGACTTACTCAGTGAGGCTGAGTGTCCCCCTGTGTTTGAGATGTGGTCTGGGCATGTGTGTACCTGAGGCCACGCTGAGAGCTCTCAGGAAACCTTCCAGGGGGTCGGGGTCTACACTGAAGTACATCAGCTGAAATGGTACATCAGAATCTTTTAAGAACATGAGATTCAGTGTTATGTAGAGGAAGAATATGGACCTTAATTGAGTGTGACCATTTACAAGTTATTTTGTCTTATTTTATCACACCTGTTGGTCAGTTTAAATTGGGTTATGATGCAGGTTAAACAGCTTAGCTATACTCATTGACAAAAAGTATCAACCCACTATGACTAAAAAGCTAAAATTCTAGCTAACAATGTAACATTTCTGTCACAGCTAACTGGATATTCTTAAAAGTATCAGCCAGCATATTTTTTCCACTAAAACTGCTTACCATGCTGACATAGTCCAGCTGTGGTGGCTCCATGGTGTGGTCAGCAAAGATGTCAAAGAGAACCTTCTTCAGGTTGCCTACTCTGTCATAAGCCTTGGGGGCAGCAGGGTCAGCTGGGGTGATGGGGGGTGGCTCCTGGGTGAACCACAGGTTAACCTGGACACCAACACAATAGGCAATGAATAGATACATTTAATTTATGTGACAAACAAATGAACATGTATGATCAGAACAAATGATAGCATTGCCATCAAACTGATGTTACATATGTTGTCCTGGACTCCTCAAACAAAATGTGAAATTGAATATTGATTCTAATGAATATATCAAATCCCTACAACATTTTCCCCAAGAATGACAAAAAACTGTTCTTACAACATCTAAATACAACAACAATTCTACAAACCAAACAACAGGACTGACACGACTTACCCATTCAAATTGCTCTCTGGTGACAAAGCCAGAGTTCTTCTGGTCCATCTGTTTGTACTTGGCCAGAGTGTCCAGCAGCTGTGTCTGTGTGGGCTGTGGCCAGGGCTGGGCAGCCTCCAACATGAAGTTCCTCCAGTCTATGTACTCAGCATCTGGGGACAACTCTGCAGCCATCTCTGTCAACTAAAACAATAAATACAATAATAGGTTATAAGAGCCCATGGATGAGGTTCTCTAGTCCTGGTAACTAGTTTAAGATTTTCCTGCCATTCTTAGTAATTATGCCAAGTCCACACCACCAAATATACAAGTGGTACTGGTAAGTCTTTCCTCCTAAGTTCAATATGATAGCTAGCACGTTTACGTCACAACACAAAACAATTATTAAACACAGCAAACAATTTCCTAAAATTCAAAGTATGTGGGAAATTATAAAGAAGTGTATAATTCACTCCATCTATTTACAACTTGACAAAGATTTAAATGCCTATACTGTAACAGCAGAGACGGATCCAGAGATATTTTCTGACAGTCTTCCAAATTATCTTTGTTGATCCATCCTCATTTTTGACTGTCTTCCGACAGAAAAAGTTAGATACCCGTCTATATAAAATCTTGAAAAGACTTGGAATTCTGACCGTCTTCCGGAAGACCCAGAAGATGGCCTAAATCCGCCCCTGACTGTAACACCATGCCAGGTGTCCAAATTTTGCATACAGGTGTTCTCCATACCTGGTGCAGAGATACATTGGTCCACATGTCAGGCAGGGACTCTGTGCCATAGGACAAAGTAGTGAAGTCATGAAGCATGTCCACAAAAGCCTTGGTAGAAATGAAGCCCGTAGGGGCAATGGACATAAACTGCAAAACAAAATTAATACAGATGGAATTACCACTGCAGGTTTACATTTGTGCACATAATTGATGTAATATGTGGATCTGCATGATACGTGTTATGGTAGAATGTAAATTTCTACTGTGAACTAAATGATTTCAAAATGATACACAATACAATTTTCAAACAGCATGGACTGGAATATCCATAGGTAAACCTGTAAATCGTAAATCCCATTTGACTGAGGTATTACCTGGTTATACAGTGTGTTGACTGTGAAGTATTACCTGGTTATACAGTGTGTTGACAGTGAAGTATTACCTGGTTATACAGTGTGTTGACAGTGAAGTATTACCTGGTTATACAGTGTGTTGACAGTGAAGTATTACCTGGTTATACAGTGTGTTGACAGTGAAGTATTACCTGGTTATACAGTGTGTTGACAGTGAAGTATTACCTGGTTATACAGTGTGTTGACAGTGAAGTATTACCTGGTTATACAGTGTGTTGACAGTGAAGTATTACCTGGTTATACAGTGTGTTGACAGTGAAGTATTACCTGGTTATACAGTGTGTTGACAGTGAAGTATTACCTGGTTATACAGTGTGTTGACAGTGAAGTATTACCTGGTTATACAGTGTGTTGACTGTGAAGTATTACCTGGTTATACAGTGTGTCAATGTGAAGTATTACCTGGTTATACAGTGTGTTGACTGTGAAGTATTACCTGGTTATACAGTGTGTGGACTGTGAAGTATTACCTGGTTATACAGTGTGTTGGTCTGAGCCACAGTAAACTGGTCTGGCTGAGGCTGCTCCATGGGCTCTGGTCTCACTGGAGGACTTGGAGTACGCACAGTCTTGATATCCTTAAAAACAAAGACAGTGGTTAGAATTCAACGGTTATGTCTTTTGTTTCTGTTAGAATTGCTTATTGATACTTTCTTGTTAAAACATATAATTATTTTTCATATCAAGTAATGTCCTATAAGATTTTATTTTAAAGAGGAAAACATTTCATTCTAAGAAGCTCAAGTTTTAGATGATACATACTGATTTCTGGGAAGGCCAACATAAAAGACGGGTTTTGTTTTATTTAATAAATCCACACATTTCAATTAGTTATACCATTTTTCCACTCTGTTATTGTAAGTTTGAGCTTCAATTCAGAAAAGAGTCCACATGGACAGTTTTTATTTAACATGAATTCTGTCAAATCATACACTGCACGCACTGCAATCTGAAAGTTGGGCATTATTGGTCAAGTTATAATATTGGTTCTAATATTGGTGATAGTTTTAGAATTTAAAAACGCTTCGCCAAAATCATTTTTCGAAAATATTTCCTTTATCATTTCAAACTGTACATCTCCCTTTACAAAACTTACAGCAGTTGGAAATCCATTGAATATGCTTATATTGTGGATAGTGGAGTAAAATAGAGACTGAATGTATAGTTGAGTTGTTAGATATTATTTCCTTATATTTATGGCTTGTATTATTTTAACATTTGGTGTAGTCTGGTATTCAAAGACATAATTTTCTCTCTTAAGCAGATTTCATGTTGGCTGCATTGTGTTTACATTGAAGTGCCCCTTAAAAACAGGTGGTGTACAAAAAATATACACAGTGCAAAAAGTTGTTGTGAACCATTGGTGGTTTGTATTCACAGTTCAATGAAGATGAAGTCAACCAAAATCAACTGTCATTCCACACAGTTTTGTGCAAGTAACCACACAAGTGCAGACAACCACTCTGAAACTATGTGATCATCAATACAACACAGTGCAAGTGGTAGACACTGACATACTTACCACCAAAACATCCTACAACAGACAAATAGAAATTAAAATTCTTTTCTTGTATAAATTTCAATTTCTCTTTCCCATTCCTGTATGCTATTAATTTCATAATGGCTATGCTATTACATACACATTTCCACCTGTGTTAAGTGGCTGGCTAAAGTCAAGGTGGGTGCCCTGTCACCTGGTTACTGGACAGAGTGAAGTATTTTAAAAGTATAACCATTGTACCCCAAGCTAAGCCAAAGACATACCCAGCATGCTCATGGACATATGGCGTTATCAGTGGAGCAGTCAACTAACCTCGACAACAACAAATTCATCCTGAAAGATTTCAATTTCTGTGGTCAGCTTCTGTCCACTCTCAATAGCATGACGCATCACTTCTGAACACTGGTCAATACTGGAAGGAAAGAGATGGCAGCACAATATGACTATGTATTCAGTCAAAACATGTTAAGTAAGCTTCAAGGTGTGTATATCAAATCTGAGAAAAACTGAATAACAGATGAAAGTGCAATTCCCCCTATGGGATGTAATACTGCTGCAATTTTTGCACCACTGTCTCTTCCGCAGTTTAAGCAACATTTTTTATCTGCAAAATTCAGGCTTGGCGCCAGTGATTTTTAAGAGATTCTTTTTCTGAAAAAGTAGACCTTTTTACCCTCTAATTAAGTTATTTGAGAAATGACACAGAACATTGATCATATTTTGATTTAAATTGGACCCTTGGTCTCCTCTAAATACCATGCCTGAAACTGATTTTGTTTTAACTACATATCGATTCTGTACCTCTCCATCTCTTTAAGGAACCTAGCCCCCAGCCAGTCATTCATGTCCTTGTAGGCGTTGTCTGCCTTGTTCTTCAGGTCCTGCAGTACTCCAGCAGCATGCAGCTTAATCAGCTCAACCCTCTTCTTTACTGCAGCTTCTGTTCATTAAGTTGAAAAAAAAGTCAAATTAAGACTACAGCAAGAAGGCAATGAAGACAGAATTTCTGTTTTGTGAACTTTCATTTTGAGTTTTCATTCCAAAGCTGAGTTTAACAGTAATGGTTATCTGACATTCATGAAAAGAAGACAGTTAATTATAAACTTATTCTTTTTTGTTTTCTGTTTCACTTTAAAGTTTGCTCTTCTGATCATTGCTGAACTGGGTAAATTCATAAAAAATGATTGAAAAATAACCAAAACTCAAATGTACCTTCTTCCCTGATGGCAAAGAAATATTCATCCTTCATTTTCTGCTTTAATCTTTTCTTCTCCTTTTCTTCCTCTGATTCTTCTTCAACTGGAACATAAACATAAAAGATCAATTATCATTTAATTCTAGTTACTATTCAACATACAATCAAAAATAAACTGGCAGTGACTGATTTAAGATGACATCAACAATTAATAACTGTATACATAAATGGCAGCAACTATACACTACCTGGTGTGGGCGTGGGAGGCAGCTCAGGCTCTTTTCCTTTGCCTTTTCCTTTTTTAGGTGATGGGCTCCTGCTTTTGCCCTTCTTTCCACCCTTTCCTCCTTTTTTGTCACTTGTTGCCTTTTCCTTTTCTCTCTGTTTCTCCAACTCTTTCTCCAGTTCAGCTTGCTCCTCAGCTTCCCTTGCAGCCTCTTCTGCACTAAGCTGTGAACAGATATAATACATTTCAGATATCATTATTGTTTAAATCACAACAGAAGTTAAAATATCATCTATCATTTTAAGTGCAACATTTTATAATATACTTAACATATCCAATAACTTACAATGCCTGACACAGCAGCGACACCATTGTTAAATGCGTCAAAGATCAATTTCTCATCTGGGTCTGCAGGTGGCATGGGGCTCTCTACTTTCTCTTCAGCAGCAGGTGTCTTATCCTTCTTCCCTCCTCCTTTCTTGTCCTTCTTCTCCTTGGTGGCAGGAGTAGTTGGAGCATTGGGATCTGGAGAGACTGGGCGACGGGGAACCAGAGGAATGCTGAAATGGAATGTAAGTCATAGACTTAATCTTCATGGCAATATGTGGATGAGCAAACCAAAGTTCTTCCATTTGCATAAAATATACATTTTAATCTAAATTTAAAACAAATAATGAAATAAATGTCAAACAGAAATATCAATTTAGCAGTAACTGTTATTCAGAACAACTTACCTAGTTTTGATCTCTTTCAGAGGTTCTTCATCTTGACCAGGCAGAGTTGGTTCCTCAGGTGGTTCCTGCGATTTCTTGCCTTTCTTCTTCCCAGATGGTGTATTTTTTCCAGAAGATCCAGGTCTCTTTCCAGATGATCCAGGTCTTTTCCCAGAAGAGCCAGGTCTCTTTCCTGAGGACCCAGGTCTCTTCCCTGATGGTGTGCTGGACTTGCTCTCCTTTGCTTTCAGAGCTTCATCTGGCAGACCCATATCACTGACTGGACTTTTAGCAGGTGATCCGGGGATGTCAGTCACGGGTAGCTAGAATGAAAACATTGTGCAAGTGATAGCATGTATATCTCAGGGCTTGGCATCTATATCTTCTGCTATTTGAAGGTGAAAGATACAAATATACACCTCTCCTGTGATCCTATCATAGAAATTCATCAATTATTCTATCCTTACATATCCTCAGTCTTACCTCAACTAAAGGAATGCGAGCAAACTCATAATTCTGTGGATCTGGAATAGGAGCTTCCATGCCTCTGTAGTAATCTTTTAACAACCTGATGGTGTCCTGGTAGCGATCTACTTCACACTGGAACAGAAAGATGTTGGAAAAAATTGAATCGGCTTGTGGTGATTACATTTGTTGTTGAAAATTGGTTGTTCTTGTTATTCTAACAAAAAGTGCTCTAGAAGAGAAATTTAAGACATGAATATTTTAATGTAAAGTCTGCCTACCTGCATGAGAGTTATATAGTCATTGCTGAGGATTCCCAGTCTATCTTCTAACCAGCCATCATTGATGATATCAGTGCGCTCTTTCTCTGCATTATCTTTCCTTTCATCACAGATACTCCACAGGCGTTCTCGCAGGTCATCAACACGCTGGTGCAGCTCCGAGCGGGTCTCTTCGTCGTCTCTCGTGTCATCTGGTACTTCATTGTAATCCTAAAATATGGCACCCAATAAAACATGAATCACAACAGCAATGTATCACATTCCAGCTACCTAAAAATGATGTGACTGATGTATGCCTACTACAAAGAAAATGAAAAACAAAGTGTGTAAAAAAAAAAAAAAAAAAGAGAAGAAAGAAAGAAAAATAAAAAAGGGCATTATTTCATCTTTTCTTACACAGACAATACATTTTACCAATAATCATGCAATATCAAATTTGTAACAAGCCAAGTTTATTAATCTTATAATATAACTCTAACATCCATGGAGAGAATTTCAATCACTTCTCACACCCACCTTCTGCCACTGTGCCACAAATTCCTTCTTATGATCTGGTCTTTTGAGATATGCCTGGAAATCTTGTCTTATCTGGTAAAAGTAGCGGTAAATCATTTCTCTTTCTTCCCTGATCTTCCTGAATGTGTGTTTGTTGTTGGCCACATAGGACTCTTCCACAGTTTCCCAGTGTGGAGCAAGAATTTTGGCTAGTTCCTGTGCAGAAAAAAACAAAAGGCATTTTTAGAAAAATTACACAAAACAACAGTGTACTACTCATCTAATATTTAACTACATCAACAATACAAATTATTTCCATGTCTCCACCTGCTGGTTGTGATGATTGGTGTGGAGTATAGGACAGCTGGCATGAGATTGTGCTTGACCACTTACCATGTCCAGTGCAGTGTCCACATACTCCCACTCCTCTGACCCGGGCTCTGGGGGAGGGGGGCCCTGGGGGACTTCAGGCTCTGGTTCTGGCTCTGGCGTGGGGGTCTTGGTCTTTTTGCCTGATCTACCTCTTTTAGGAGAGCCAGAGGAACCTAGGTAGGCAAGGTGACATTATAATGTGACATACAAGAAAATGCATCATTTAAAAAGATTTTTGAAGACTTATTGATTATCCTGAAATTATGATTTCTCTGTGATCTTTGATGATCCATGCACTACTTAAAACAACTAAAATCATTAATATAATAATAAACTAACTTCAGCAATAGTGAGTGAAAATAACAAAACCTATAGCATATATTACCTCTGCTCCCTTTTCCAGATTTCTTGTCTTTGGATGCAGATCTCTTTGGAGATTCACTCTTTTCTCTCCCTTTACCCGATTTAGGAGATTTGCTTTTGCCTTTAGCTGAACCAGCTCTGGAACCTTGATAGAGAAAATTATATATAATATAATCTCAATAATAATTAGTCTTTACTTTGCATAAGGTCATATCTGTCAATATATCTTTTTTTACAAGTGTCCTGTGTTGTTTGTTAAATACCTTCTGTATACACCAAACTAATGATAATCCATACTTAATTCTTTGTTTCTTACCTTTCTTGGAGCCAGATCTTGATCGCTTGCTCTTGGTGCTGGATCCAGACTCTGGGCGGGGTTCAGGAGGAGGCTCAGGCTGGAAATTATGGAAATCTTATTTAATGTTCTCCTTAAAACATTCACAAATATCTTATATATAGTATTAAATATGCATACATATAAACAGACACAGACTGTGAAATCCACTTAGGTGGTGTTACACACTGAATGAGGCCTCACCTTTGGTTCCTCTGGGGGCTTCTCTGGCTCTGGTTGAGTTTCAGGTTCAGGAACAGGCTCAGATTCTTGTCCTATACCAAGCAACTGAAAATGAATGGCACATAATGAAATGTCTGCAGTATAAACAGCTCCACAACATATGATAAAATATACTTTCCTTTCTTTTTTTATGATTTCTCTTCATCACATATAGTCCATATAGTGACAAATTATTATATCTCCATGTCTTTTGGCTCTTACTTTATTCACAGTTTCCTCCATCACAGCCTCCACCTCTAAAAAGACTGCCTCTGTGTCCTGTGTGGCATCAACTTTTTTCAGAGAACCAAACTTGCTGTACCACTTCTCAAGCTTAGGCCAGGCATCCAGGAAGGCAGTGATCCTAAAATAAGCAGTGGAAATCGTCACGCTGACACCTTATATTATTAACAAATTACAATTCTAGGAGACCATACTTTTATAAGCTACCCAGTATAAGCATTTTCAGTGTGAAAATATAGTATTAAGTACTCCCATGTGACAGTATTAATGATACGAAAAAAAGAAATGCATGTAGCACAATGAATTTATAACAGCATATTGGGCTTTCTGATAACACCCCAGCATTTCAGATGTGGTGTACACTTTCAGATAACCAATGAAAATCACAACAATACAAAGCAGTTCCAATAATGTCTCACCTGTGCTGCACCTGTTCTTGGTCATGAGCTGGGTCTTCTACGGGTATCACCTGTTCCTGCTTCCCCACCCCTGTGGCACTGCCCTCTGGAGGCGGCTTGAACTCCTGGTGGTAGTGCTCATCCCCTTGCATGGCATCTAGATATATGGGATATAAATATATACATATGGGGTTAACTACTGAGGCAAAGTCAAACTGAGGAATATTTCCACAAAAAAAAAAAAAAAACATCAATCCTTACTACTGTGCTGCTATATTCTGAAATGCCATTAGTGATCATAAAATATTACATCAGCTGTACAATTGTGTGTTTCCATTTACGAAAAGCATAAATTTATAAATGCCAGTAAAAACGAATGTGCTCACATGTCCTTCCAGCTGATCTCTTCAGCACAACTTCATCTGGGAGGTCAAACACTATCACCACATTGACTCCACTCTGGGGCTCAGCTGGGGGTGGAGGGGGCCTGGGATCAGGGGCAAGCATTGACTTCTTCTGTCCTTTTTTACCCAGTCCAAGTTTCTCCTGTTCCTTGGCCATGGCGTCAAAGCCACTGAGAGCCTTCTCCAGCAGCTTGGCCTGAGTGTAGTTGGTGGGGAAGCCATCCAGCACCCACCCTGTACCTTCTGGGATGTGCCTAGAGGAACAACGGAACATGAAAACAAAAACATTTCTGACCCACCCTGTACCCTCTGGGATGTGCCTAGAGGAACAACAGAATGTTAAAACATTTCTGACCCACCCTGTACCCTCTGGGATGTGCCTAGAAGAACAACAGAATGTTAAAACATTTCTGACCCACTCTGTACCCTCTGGGATGTGCCTAGAGGAACAACAGAATGTTAAAACATTTCTGACCCACCCTGTACCCTCTGGGATGTGCCTAGAGGACCAAAAGGATGTTAAAACATTTCTGACCCATGCAGTGGATCTTAGGTTGAGATTTCTACACATTATCATTTGTCTTTAAAAATTCACTTAAAATAGATAATAATAATAATAATAATAATAATAATAATAATAATAATAATAATAATAATAATAATAATAATAATAATAATAATAATAATAATAATAATTGTAACAGGCATTATGGGGTAAACATGAGGGAAGGTGTATTATCAAAAAATTGCCACAGGTGGACAAATGTTACCATGGCCTATAATATCTGTAAATGGACAATCCAATTTTAACTACTGGTATTATGGTCTGATTGTTGTTAAAATACATAATAATATTTATAATTTGATGGAAGAAAATAAAATACAAAGCTTCACCTGATTGAATCCACCAAGACATCAATGATAATCTGGTCATCCACTGGCTTTCCTTTCTTCAAGCATTTCATGGCCTTGGCCCCAAGCTTGGCTCTCTCAGTTGGCTGATGCAGCAACAAAATAATGAATTGGGATTACTTCTGAATAATTTGAACGTTAATATAACATAATTTTATGAAAATACAATAGATCTTAATACAGTGTTTGTAGGGTTATAACCAAAGAAAGGGGAAAATAGTTAAGAGAATAGCATAAAGCTTCAGCATACTGAGCTTCAGTGTACAAACAAAACAGATATTTACCTGTGGCTTTGGAGCAATCTTTGTTTTGGAAACTCTCCTGGAAGATTTGGAAGAGATGCTTTCAGTATCTGGTCCCAAATCTGATTTTTCAGGAACTGGCTTTTCTGGATCTCCTATAATTCAAGGATTGCATTGTACATTTTAACACTCATTTACCACTAATAATCCACTTAAAAACTTTTCATGACAGTTTACATAATAAAGTTACAAAATACCATAGAAATTCCTTATACATTTTGAGATTATTATAACAGTCAAGTTAAACAAATTAACATATACTGGTATTATATGTGTGTACACATTTCATACGGCATCACTGTATATTGCATGCCCCTGGAAACTGACTTTACTTCTAAATTCCATCCTTTTCAGAAATATTGATCTTTGAAATTAAAATTATTGAAAATCTTGCTATAAAATACAGAGGAGTGAGACAAATAGACGAGTACCAGGGGTGCAGAAATGTACCTTTTTCTGTACCCTCATCCTTCTTTTCATCATCCACAGTTTCGGGAGGTGCAGCATTTTCCTCCTGCTTATTACTGTCCACTACCTCAGGTGCTGGGGTACCTACAGAGGGGAATAAAAGGCTGGGTAGTAGAGAATCTAGGGAATAACTATTGAAGTTACAGTACAAGTAGGTCAGTATTAATACAAGGTGATACAGATGGGACAGATATTGTAATTAATGCAACAACAACATCACTCACCTTCAGCAGGTGGTTGCTGGGCTGCTGGCTCTTTGCTAGGTGGTGCCTCAGTCTCATTGGGTTTGGTCTCTGCTTCCGTCACCTGTAAGGTGTATGTTCCTGTGTTATCATTTTGTGCAGCACACTTATGCTTTATTTCATACAGTAAATATAGAATTAATATACAATTATGTGAAAAACATTTCTATACAATTCTATCAAGAGCACTTGGACTTGGAAAAATATATAATAAAGGCACACAATTATGAAAAAATTAAGCAGTACATTTTCAAGTCCTTAATTTATTTTGTTTTCTCAAGAAGTTCAGTGGATGGCAACTAGTAGTATAAACTCACTGGTTCTTTGATCTCAACTTCTCCACTTTTGTTGGCTTCTATTGCCTCAGCCACCAGGTTATCAACATTCAATACTCTAAGGCGATGAGCTAGAAAACAAAATTAAACAGGAGGTATGTCAAAACTTGACTCAAAATAATAAACCTCTTGTATCATTAAAATGTTACATATAATAAACCAATAAGTTCGATTGCACTAGTAACACCAATATGCATTGTTTTGAGTAGATATAGTGCTTTGGAAAAAAACATTTTGTTTTACTACAGATAATTAAAACTGTAAGTGTAAAAAAGAAATTGCTTTATATAATTCAAAAACATACTTCAAAGGTTTTCAGAAGCTTTGAAAATCAGTGTGAAAACTGTTTGAAGTCATGTATAAAAATATGATAATTAAATTCTTCACATTGTGTTTTACCTGTTGCTAACTTATCAATCACTGTGGTCTTCCCACTGAATACTTTCCCCAGCACACAGGCTTTCACAGGGAATGGGGGGAACTCTGGGGGAGGGGGTGGAGGCTGAGAGAAAAAAAGAAACAATGTTAAAACTCATAATCTCATATCTCACAGTCATTGACAGCATCTCATATACATACAACATTTCATATGTGGGCATGCATGTCTTAAACTGTAAAACAATTAAGGTCAGAAATAAAAATGCTAATGTTTCTGATCTTAATCAATTGAAGAATATATATATTGGTCACCAATCTCATTTATATCTTCAATAAAAACACAGGCACTTTCTAAAGCTGAAATAATCACTCTATTTTGATATAAATAACCTAGTTGATAATTTAAAAAATTACACAAAAGGTATGTCATAATTCTACAAATAAATACTACATTGTAAATGTAGATATATATGCGTCTACTACATGCAGGTTTGTGTTTAATAACATATCATGCAAGGGAACCCTTAACCATAGGGATTGCACCAATTCACTGAAGCATAAATCAAGCACCCTTAACCACATGATACTGCTGAAACAGACAACTTCAAGGACCCTGTACAGAAATCATGCCCATTCCACCAGTGCCCAGGAAATGGTTCTATTCTGTATGTGCTACATGTAATAGGAAAGCAGTAACTGACATAATGCTATTGCAGTAGCTACAGGATGTCTAAATGTGTGAAATGAGGCTAGCAACAGACACTGTACTTTACCGGTTTTTCTTGCACTGGCTATATGTAATAATGATTAAGGTATTAATTATACGTCCATGGATATTATCAAGCAGAGCAAACTGCCCTATATCTGCAGCTGTGTTGTTCAAATAATCTGTTAAATTACCTTCTGAATACAAAGGAGGCAATTAAAAATGATGTGAAGCATTTCCCTAAATATTGATCAATATCCAAAACAATCAGGCAAATTTACCAGTAGCATGCTATTTATTTTACATGTAAAAGCAAGACATTCCCAGCAAGTAATATATTTTTGAGTCATACATAATGTACTCACTCTATAAGGTGAGTAGTCACTGTTACCATTACTGTGCTTTCACTACTTACACTTGGTGGGTGTACCATGTTGAAAAGTCTCTGCACTATGTGACCAACAATAGGGTTGTTTCTCGGAGGACCGGTGATCTCACTGCCCTCTGGTGGGCACCACTCACCAATCATGTTCTAGAAGATAAATTATGAAGTGCATCAGTTCTTCATATTCTTTCACAAAATTAAATCATAAATGTTGACTAGTATTAAGTATCAAATGAAAAACTAGAACTCCCACAGGTATAAACACAAAAAAAAGGACAACATACTGTACATGTACTGTAATCTAAATAACATGTGAATATCTCAGATATATGTACTGTACCTTATATTCCATGAAGTCTCCCTCATCTAGCAGAGCCAGTCTCTCCTCCTCCAGCACCTGCTCAGGTGTAGGTTCCAGGCTGGTGGAGTCCTGGCTGGTCTTCACCTCATACAGTGGCTTGCCAGACAGAAACAGGGACGTCCACTCACGCATCAATTTATTGGGCAGAAGTCTGGTAAATAAAAACAAGAAACATAATTATAAATAGCTGTATTGGTATCCTTTAAGTCTAAAAACTAACAAAAGGTATCAATGAAAAGCAGGTGAGAGTTACATGTAACAGTATAGTTTTTGTTCTACCATACGCAATATAATCAGCATTATGTAGGGATAGACTTGCACCAGAGAAAACAGTATCAGTATCATAAAAGTGACTTGAAGTGTAATCTTTTGTTTCCACTAACCTGTTAGTCAACTCCCTGTACTCCCCAATCTTTGTAGAAAAGTCCACTACCTGGGACAAAACCTCACTGCACATTTCATAGTGTTTCCTGTATCTTGCCTCTGCCCTCTCTGCCATGATTTTATCATGTAACTCTCTGTCAGCTCTTGTCTGTTCAATATACTCAAGCTTGGCCAGGCGTGCCATTTCCTATAAATGTGAAGAGATCAAAAATATACATTAAATACAGAGACAAAAATTCTATCAAATATTTTGAAATAAAAATCAGGTATTTATTTCTTATACTGATTCAGTCTATACACACCCAAATTTTACATTTTCATTTTTCAGAAAATTCAACAATTAGCAAAATAGCTGTTCAAACTCAATCTTATGTCCAAATTCTGATTTCTATCTGTTACAACTGCAAGCTTCTGGGTGTATGATGGTTCTTCAACTAATCATTTTAGCCACATCAACTTACAGCCTCTCTGTTAAGAGCATCCTCAAAGTCCTTGAGTCTCCTCTCCTGATACTGTGCCTCTCGTGTCAGCCTGTTCTTCCTGATCACTTCTTTCTCATGTCTGGCCTGCAGCAGCTGCACCGCTATTCTACGCTCCTGCTGAGATTGTCGCATCAGGCGGTTCACCAGCATCTCTTCTCTATGAGCCTCCTACAATACCAACATATAAATATTGATCAGTGCTACATGCATAATATAAACTTGTACCCCTATAGTAAAAACTGACTCTTCAAGCCACATATTCTGAGTAAAAATAAATGAAACTTTTTAAATCCTGAAATTTTACAATTTTTATAAAAATTATTAACAATGATTTAAAAAAAAAGACATATAATAACTTAAACAAACTGCCTCACCTCCTGGGCTTCGTGTGCCTTGAGCTGATCTACCAGGACTTTCCTCCTCCTCTTCTCCCTCTCCTGTCTAGCTGATGCATCTTCTTGAAGACGTTTACGGATCTTGTTGATATACTCACTGTTGGACTGAGGTTTTATGATATTCAGTGTCTCTTCAGGTGCCTCTTCTTCCTTATCCTCCTCTGCCTGTGCTAAGCTATAAACCACACAATGTTAAGTAAATTAATGTCTGATGTTTCTATTAATTTTCAAATAGAAGTATATACATACTCTAGCAGACCTTTTTTCCCAAATCATCTTGCTATTATTATTTTTCAAGTCAATCATAACTTACCTGGAATCTTCATCTCCAAAGGGTTTTGAAGGAGGTAGGGTCATTTTCATACGTTCTTCAAATGCAGCAATAGCATTCTGTGTAGCCTACAGAGAAAAAAATATTTAAATAACTACAATATTTGTATAAAAACTAAGGTAAAAGAGAAGGGCAAATCAAACCCTCTCTCCTGATGACAAAACCACCTGCAATATCATATAATCATTCTCATTACTTTATCCGTTTAATTAAGTATTCTGCTTTATATTTTCCTCTATTTATTTTTCTCATATGTCTCTTTATAACTTACCAGTGCCTCTTTCTGTTTGTTCATCTGTTGTCTTAGGCTGATAGCTTCTGCTGTCTTACTGGGGGGAGGTTTGGGTATATGCACAGTGGCAGCCCTGAAAAAGACATATAAATGAATGTCTTTTTTGTCTGTTTATCAACCATATCTTTCATTATTATTTGCTCAAAAGGCTTAGAGTGAAAACTCCCATGTTTCACTATGGATCACATATGTACAATCTATAATCTCAATGGCAAAAAAAAAAGGAAAAAAAATACACAAACAAGTGCCTGTTAAGTGGCAGACTAAACCATCAACTATGGAATAGCTTACTGTATCTTAGCCATCACTTCAGACTGCTTGGCTCTGGCCTGTTTAGACTGGTCCAGGAGTTGTCTCCTCTGGTCCTGCTGCCACTCCCGGATCCTCTCTTGCTCCAGGAACCGTTCCTTGAAGGCCGTTTTCTCCATCTCTAGCTGCTTCTTGTGAAATCTGTCCACCAGAGCTTCCAAGTTCAAGTCGGTCTGTCTGGGAGTTAAATGTTTTAACCTCTGCAACATGGGGGAGAACAGAACGATGTTAGAAATGAAAATATTCTTAATGCTCTACAGTTATTTATTTATTTTAACATAAGTTACGTATCTTTAAAATATAACATTAGACACAGTGATACCTTTTTCCATGGGCAAATTTATTCAGTTTCATATTTGGAATGATAGTCAAGATGCATAAGGTTACAATTTGTTTGATTATATGCAATGAAAATTAATATCACAAATATTTAAAAAGGGAGTTCATAAAAATATATTATGTATTAATATTTTTAAATGCAATTAAACAAAAATACCTCCTTGTATATTCCACTTTCTATTGCCTCAAGTTTTACAGGAGCTGCAGGTCTCATGGTTTCCATAGCAACACCAGTTAAGCCTGATTTAGTCTTGTTGTTTAGAGCTATGAAGAGTTGGTACAGTAAGCGTGTCGCCACTCCCTGTTTTTCTGTCATAATATCCCTAGCAATATTGGTATCAAAAGGGATGCCAAGCAGATGAAGTGTTGGCTCCAATCTGGTGAAGTTGTTAAGCTTTGAATCTGCAGTCCTTGTTGAAATAGAACAAGATATTTCATTGATGCATACAGTGACTATAGTTTGTTTAATACACATGTAATCCCAAGATTTACTTGAATATGTTAGAGATTATATCTTAGGAAATTATGAAAATATAAACCTAAATACATGTATTACCAGACATAGACAGATATAAGCATTATATCATCAATATCTCTATCACCCCATTTCAATAGATTTTTAGATCGATCTATCCCTGTGGGGAGTCTCACTAGATTACTGTCAGCTTGGCCGGCTTAAGCGTCAGTCCCGCCTACTAAAAGCTGTAAGGGGGTAATTAACTATGGTGCCCGCTCGGCTGACTGCAATTTAGCGTGAACCCCCAGGGAGTTAGGTCAATCTAAATCTTAATCTTTAGATCGATCTAAATCTCTGGGAAAGCACCCTATGTTAGTGCAATTCATAAAATTTTCTGACTTTATTGCACACAATAAAAGATCAGACAAAAAAGGATCAACAATTTAATCAACTTACTTGTTCTGTGAAAACTGATCGAAGTCATCTTGCAACTGGTGCTTGCTGAGGACCTCTCCCACAAGATACCCTGTACAGAAATCCCTAGCCAGGGTGGCAGGGTCTACAAAGAAAATATTTAAAGTTTTTAATTATGCTGTTTGTATCTGTAGGTTGATGTTGCAGAAACCACTGCTGGCAGTGTTGTAACAGGAGAGAGTGAGCAGATGCTTGAATCCCTCATTGTATCCAAGTTCATAAAAAGGATTTCGAATACTGCAAAAGTTAACCTAAACATTTTAAAGTATTTATCAGAATAAAACTGACCAGCATGATCATACAATGTATGGGGTATGTCCAATAAAAACGTATTAGAGTACATGTGAATCCAGTCACACATACCTACATACATGTACATATTAACTGAGCAAAGTGTGTGTGTGTGTGTGTGTGTGTGCATGTGTGTGTGTGTGCATGTGTGTCCGTGCGTGTGTGTGTCTTTTATTTGCTAAATCATATTTTAGTGTGATGTTTATATTCACTAATCGAAAAAGGTGCACACAAAGTGTGTAGCTGCATCACGGACGAGCGTGTATCACTGTATGTACAGTAATATTAATTTGGCACTGCAAGCGTGCAGAAAACTATCGATAAATGCTCCTAAGCACACTTACCAGTCTGCTTGGAAAGCTTCAGCTCATCATTGAGCCACTTGCATAATATATCTGTCATTTTAGACGAGTTCAGTTATCCTAGTGACATTAAATAATATATAAAATAGTCTTCAGTCCTTTCTGGACTGCATGTACACAAAATCCAATATGGCGGTCTGTCATGGCAACAACAAAATTACCACTAGATGGCGTGAAAAGCCTGCTTCCAGTACAGGCCTCGCTCAATAAGTGTTACTACTGTGAGAACTGTCAGAAACAAATGTACAGTTTGAAATTGTATATTTTGTATAATATTATAAAACGCCAGATAAAAAAACACTTGTCTTGGTTTTAAAGATCTTGTTTCAGTATTGTTTTTACTCTAAAGTTAGGGTTGGGCGTAACATGCTGACAGCCACATGAAATGAAGTGGGAAGCAAGTCTATGTAAAAAGCCATTTTACGAAATGTCTAAATTACAATAATTTACAAATAATAATAATAATAATGAATAAATAAATAAATAAATAAATAAATGAAATAAATAAATAAATAAAATAAAAGATAAATGACACGCGCCCATATATTTCAGATTTCTTTGATAATGCGTTTATAACGCGTTTATAATAATTTTTAAAAAAATCGACCTCATTGGGTAGGCATATTCTCGCTACTTATTATTTCTCGCTACTATATATTGGGTGAAACGTTAATTTCATTTAGCATAAAATCCGTGAAGAACAAAATTCCCGTGACTCGTGAATGCCGCTTTTAATTCTTCGCCTTCGTGAAACAAATTCGTAAGTTTCAGGATTTTTGAACGTATTATCAGTAAGCTTTATTTATTGTGATTTGTGAATTGTGATCACTATTCCCCAATGGAGCCCTACTTCTGGTATCCGAAGTCTTTTCACTTCATTATCAAAAGACAACAGGTTATAATTATTTACATTTATGACTGCGAGGGACGTTTTATCCTCCTAAAATAATTAAATCACTGCCCTTGGTATTGTCACTCTAAAATTGCATTTTAGAGAATTAAAAAAGATATTTAAGGGAATGTATACATGTATGTATGTGGCCGAATACGTAAAGAAAAATGTCTCAAACACATTTTCGAGTTTGAACTTCGATGTTGCAACATGTAATTAGTATGCAGAAGAAACCATACATCGATAGTTGTTATTTCGCTTTGATATGTGATGAAAAAATTATATTTTCTAGATCAAACAATTTCGAAAAACATTTTTTCAAACGGAAAAATTAGACGAACAATGAGACGAATATTTTAGGGGGAGGGGTCAATTTTCAGGATCCAGACGAGGGCCATGCAGATCCTCCTCTGTCATTTACTGAGGAGATCCCTATCCTGTGGTTTGAAATGCTCCAAACTGAGAGTTTCTACCAGTCCACTGCTAGTTGGGACTGATACCTTTGGGGCAAACTTACGTGTTATGGTTAGGTTTCAATGCACCGGTTTTATGAGGTGCGGGGTTTGTTGTGACAAGGAATTAGTTAATTTATGTTATAATATTACAGGATAAGCAAAATAATGCCTTTGTTTAAAGAAAATCTGTAATCTATTTAGTGTCTTTTAGGGGATAAGAAGGCAAGCTTTTAATTAGATATATATTTCACTTTCATCGCTCGATTTTTCTCCGTCATTCTTCTTTATTCCCATCTAATCACATATTGTTGAAAGTAGACGCAGAACACTTTTGCGATTTATTTTACCTGCTAACAACACATACATCATATTCCGAGTACACCATCGTCATTGGTATGTAGCTGGTCAATTTTAAGAGAAAATAAAATATATTTTATGATCACATCCTTTTATTTGCTTTATGTAGCCCAACAATAAACCAAAATATTTAACTAGTTTCATTATGACTTCTCAGATAGCTGTAAAATTTGCACAGTGTTGAGACAGTAGTTTTAATTGTTGCCGAAGACTAGTGGAGATACTGTACGCCGACGACACAAAATAATCAATAATTGCTTCTAATAGACTAGAACACGAAACGTATTCACTGCTATTCATTGCTATATCATTCGACTGAAAATAGCACAGTTTCAGCCTTTCTCGACACGTAGCACTTAATTGCTTTTCGAGTTTTTTTTTTAATTGCCAATAGTGATTCGTCTTCAATAAAGGTCAGTGTAATGAAATTTCAAACAATGCAGATGATTTGAGAACGACCTTTTTTTGTACACCACATTCACTCTTTTTTGTTGAGCAAAAAGTCAGCGGTTTCAAACTGCTATCTTTCCACGACAATGGAATTCCCTTTCTCCCTCATGTCTGGAGCGGCTGTGCCGCTTCTAAAATACAAAAAATATATAGTGATTATGTCAAAGGCAAAGATCAAGAAAAATTAGAAGTTGGATAAATATCAGAAAATAAATAAACTGACTAACCGACTATAGTAGCTTTTTAAATTGTTGATTAATTAATCATTTTGATTAACTTAGTCCACTACCTCACTCCGAGTGAATACTGAGATTTAGCAAACTGCGTGACGTCATCTTGATTAGATTCGTGCAGACGAGATGCTCTGCAATGAAGATAAGTAATTTTTTAACATTTGAGAGAGATTATGATGCCAATATAAACCAAACTTATAATCGCAAATCTGTATCAAATTGTCCTGAAAACCCTATGGAGATATGAAAGGATGAATTATATTTGCTAGATGCTTGCTTATGAAATAACTGGGGAAAGTTCACATTAAAAAAACAACAACTTTAAACCATTTCACATAGTCATCCTTATTACGCCAAAAAATAGGTTGTTACACCAAAACAATTTAGAATGGTTATTAAATAGTCCTCCATATATGCAATTAAATAGAGAAAGTCCGTGATAAGTGATAAAAGAAAAGCTGAACAGAGAACATATGTGATTACAGTGAATGTGGCACGTGAATATAGTGACACAGATACTAGTGGTTGAAACGCAAGACGCAGCTATATAGAGAGTATTTGGTGATGAGCCAATTTACTGTTTTTAATCTTTACACAGGAGAATTTATTCGGAAAGATTGTGAGTGAAAACTGGAATGTTACGTGATACCAGGTCGCACGTGAAGAAGGTGACGCCAAACGGTAAACTGAGAAGAGTTTAATCTAGTCAATGTTTTATATTCACCACTCTCCACTCGGTGGGACTTACAAGTATAACCTTTTGGAATAACCCGAGAAAATATCATTCAGAGGTTTTCCAAGATATTTCTTTGCAACGGATGGCTGAGAGAGACAACTGTACCTATAAAAACATACAATATTGACAGTTGCATTTATCTTACAGTAACAGTAGCAATATACGCATCTTGTATCAGACTCTGAAACACAATCCCTTTCCATCTTGTTTCGAACAATCACCCAATCTTACATATTATTATCAAAAGCAGTACAGAGAATTCACTGACCCCGCCGAGCTTCTTCCAGTTTTTGAATTGGGGCTAGTTGGAGCTTCTGGCGCCCGCCATGGCCTGCTGGTGTGTGGCGGGGCCGTCTTGGGGACCTCGTTCCCGCCAGCTGGCTTTTTCTTCAAAGAGGTATCGTCAGTTTCCTAGGTGAGGGCATATATTGTAACCATGATATGTATTCATTATTTCAATATCAATATGCGAAACAAAACATTTAATGTTACCGTTTTAAACTTTCATGTCACACGATCTTGTTCCAATTTAATCGGAAATTTGATGAGTCAACAATAAGAGCGATGAAGTCCTCATCCCTTTACCTGGCCGTATAATTTACCCAACTGGGTGTATATTCTCTTTTGTGTTATGTCCCTAGCTCTCTGCAGCGGGGTCTTTTGGAACTGTGGTCTAAATGCTGGGGGCCCGTGTCGCTTAAAAGTGAAGAAAATTAAGAAAACGTTACACCGATGTACGGGGGAAAAGCCGTCAATGTCAATGTAACTTTTGAAAATACACATAAAAGAAAAGCTTGAGCCTAATATTCAATGCTTTAAGACCTTAACTCTAGTAAGTGCATAGATTTCTGTTTCCTTTCACACACACACACACACACACACACACACACACACACAAAAAAAAAAAAAAGGCTGCAGTTGCGGATTCATGTTTCATGATTTTGTGGCGCATTAAAGCACTTACCTTGTCTGAGTCCCGTATTCGAATCATGTCTATCCCTTCTCTTACAATAACAGTGCTCTCTTCTCCAATCATGACACTGTCTTGTCTTGGACCTCCACCCAAACCATCCCTGTAGAGATGACTAGCAAGTTTACTCCCTCTGACTGGCATGCTGTTTTGGTAACTACTATCAACCGCCGGTAATAACTCTCCTATGGGAAAAAAGCTCTTCTCCCTAACCCCAGCAACGGGGGAGTTGGCACTGCTACTGGGTGAACCAGATGATGCTTGCGGTATTGGGATGGGGGAGGTTGACTTTGTAGGGCCCTGTGTGACTTTGACTTTTTGTTGGGCAATAGTGGTTTTACCATTCTTTTTATGGGACAGGGGTTCGGAGGTAGATTTCTTTTCAGAGGATAATGTTCCCTTTCCGTTTTCAACGCTTTGTCTATTTCTTTTTAAGCTGCCTTGGTATTCTTTTAAACTGACTTTTAATAGCACCATTTCTTCTCTACTCTTGGTAGGCACTGGCAGCCTGACTTTTAATGAATCTGGCTTGTCAAATGTTTCGTGCCACTGCTTTAGTTTTTCAGTAGTGGTCATGGTATTAGTCGTGTGAGATGGCGACTCGTTCTTCATTTCGTTCAAAGCAGTCATAAACGCTTCTGAAGACGACTCTGCTGAAATTGATGGCGGGGCCGCTCTATTTGAGTCCAGAGTATCTGGCGTTTGTTGGCCCGAGTCGTCGTCACCGCTCGTCATACTGGGCGACAACTCACGGGGGCTTTTTAACTGTCCGTGTGTGTAGGACAACTTAGCAGGTTTATTAGCAAGCGTAGCGAGCATTCTAGAATAACTATAGCCCTCGAAAGACTTTGCACTCTTTGCTGTCCTTTTTGGGATTTGATGTATTCTACCAGTGCCTATTTCTCTGGCGCTTTTGATATTTAAATGTTTCGTTCTACCATTCGGATATCTCGGTGGAGAAAGCGAGTCTGAGATAGATACTGACTGGTCACTAGATGTTGTCGTTGTAGTGCTGGACGATTTTGCACTAAGAGACGCGTTCCTAAACACGTGTTTTTCAGGGACATCTCCATTTAATATTAATTGAGGGATAAGACTATCATCACGAGACTGGTCCCCAAAAGATTTGCCACGACTCTGGACAAATTGAATTAAACGTTTGGCACGATTGACACCATCTTCTGTAGAATGTTCCTTTTTGTCCATTTCACCAGGTAAAAAGACCCCATCTTTGACGTTCCCTTGTTCATCAGATGATATGGAGTATTGCACCATGTTCTCGGCGGGCGGATCTGGGTTTTGCATTTCTTTGAGTTTTGCGTCCTTTTGGCGTAAATACTGTATAATAGTTTTGTCAATGTCATCCATCGATTTAACGCTAAAGTTAACCTCACTCGTCTGCTCAAACAAACTATTTTCCTTGAACTTTTCATGATTGTCGATCGCTTGACATTTATTGACTGGAACACAAGTGTACTTTTCCCAAGCTAACTTAACAGGTGGGGCTTTTCTTGTGGGGGATTCGTGTCCTGAAAAATATTGATATTTTACTATAAGCGTATATGAGCAGGGTGTCCACTTAATTGACATCAGTAACGGATGTTAACAAACAAAATGAAATGAAAATGAAACTTCAAACGAAGCAAAATGATAAAAAAACGAATTACCGTCTTCATCTTTGTACTTGTTTTTTCTTCTCATCCAAGCTTCGATACCTAATTTAATAGAAAGAATTGACTGATATGAATAATCGATTGTAAGGCAATTATTTATGCACTCCATGAATTGTATATGCAAGGGGTCAAACAAGTAACCTCTTCATTATATTGGTAAATGTTGATAGGTGCAACCACCGTTTACTCGGTGCATATTTTGTCAACTTTGCCATTTACACAAAACACGAATGCAATTAGCCTAAAGTGACAAACACGATTTATAATTAAGTATAAATTTACAAACTTAAACGTATTTGTTTTGATGAACGAAACATAATGGCCTTACCTGTATCGTCCCCAGCCTCCTGTGCGTTCCAACCCAGCAAAACTTCATACCGCTGTGTCTTTCTGAAAGTAAAACAATGCCCTCTCATGTATACGGAGAAAATACACGTTGGGTCCTAACTCTACATAAATGCTCTCGAATACAGAAACTGCCACAGCCGTAGAAAATGTGTTGCTTTCGAAAGCATGATATTGATAAGCGACTGTCTTGTCCAGCCTGCAAATTAAAAAGAAAGACGTCTATGTGCAGTTTACCACTTCTGTGAGTATAACCTCTGTTTGCCATTAAAAACACGAATAAACAGGTGGCATATATAAAAAACAAAGCTGCATGAACTCCCCTGGTAGTAATTTTTTAACGACCATACGTACCCGGGCATCCTGTCCGAGGTAGGCCTATCTTTGATATTAGCGGATTAAGCGTGCCAGTTGTGGTATGACAACGCGTGAAACAGTGATCGATATTAGGTTACAAGCTAACTTCACCCGTCCGATCAATGCACTTACAGCAATAAAACTTTGTTGTTGACAAATGGCCTTTGTAAATAAAACACCTGTTAGCCGCTCCTTATGCAAACTAATTTATCAGAAAAGGAAAGAATGAAGAAATCTGTTTTTGACACTTTAAAAATCCAGAAAAAATTAAAATCAAAAAAGGGAGGGGGGTGGGGGCTCACCTATGGCATGTCAATGCATGGTCGTTATCAGTAATGAAAATATATTTAAGACCGTCGATTCCAAGCAGGTCTGGTATCCAGTCAATACAAACGTTCTAGTATTTGAGATTAGCTGTGACAAATGTTAAGATCTTCTGTACGTGTAACAGTACTAGAGAGCCCAGATTGGTGTTATTCGTTGTAATAAACGACCTAAATAACGCACAATGGTGCAAATTTTAATCTTTAGAAGTTATTGAAAATGATCGGGGTGATATGTAGAGCAACGACAGACCTTTCACAATTAAATAAGTACCCAAACAACAAAACATTAATCAAAACTATACAGATTTTAATTGATGTCAAACAGTGCATTGTCGTTAACTATATTAATTTACCTGTAACACAACCCAGGAGACGGGAGTTCAAACCATATTAGAGACCGTTTGTTATATGAGGTAATTTTAACTCACAAAATGAATTCAAACGATCAAATTTAATTGATAGCAAATAAAGAGTTTGTATTAATGTTGTGTTTACACTGACAAACAAGAGGCAGTGGTATTGGACTAGACTAAATGCATTGTCCAGATATGTTGAAAAGCAGGGGGGATATTCACAATGGGGAGGGAGGTGTGTGATAAATTTACTTTTAAAACCAAACAATCTGCATTTGTCGTTCCTTTTTTAACGGGGGAGAACACATAGAGCACGTCCGAAAAGGTGGTATTTACTCTGCAAACAGAACGCCGAAACAAACGCACAAAAGCAGCCATTCCATTGACAAAAGATTTTAATCTCTACACTCCAGTGGATTTTCCTGCACATTTGTTGCCGAGTAGTCATTTTGTCAGTATATGTAATATACCTGGGGTATTGTTATGCCTCTGACTCTCCATATTTAATAACACTATCCAGCGATTCCAACAACATACAGACATGTCATAACTCCAAACTTCTGTCGGTGAGACAGTTCCAACACCAGTTAAATAATACCAAATACACACAATTCTATTTGCCATTAAGATAAACGTAGTTCTATTATCTTTGAATAATCAACCCTGAGTAGTGATAGAAAATTCACACGACCTGTATACCATACCCATACAAAAAGAGCACAAGGATTAAATTTTGTTAATCAATGCCTAGCGTCCCTAAGGTAGCAATGCCCTTACCTGGGTGATTGTTTTGGTTTGGAAACGGGTGCCGGTCCGTCATTTCTGGCTGCGAATCTTGCCATGGCACCGACCACACCGTTGTCTGTCTTGCTTTGTTATGATGAACAGCACATCATTGCGTAGTTACCAAGTGAAAGCTGTCCCTATTAGTCTCCTGAGTCTCATTATCTTAATATGCTCCTTTCGTTCATGTCTTCTTTATTGGTTCATCCGATATCACTATGGATATGAATCCTCAAAAGCTCGGGAATTTTCCTCAAAGCATTTCTTACCGCATTTTCCGTATGAATGTCGTTAATTGCAGCTTATGAAAGGCCTTACCGTACAACAAACAATATCTTTAGGAACAGAGTATGATATCCCCGTTTTCAAGTGCTTTGTAACTGGCTTACATCTGGCTTATATTTGTTCAGGTAAATCCACCAACCAAATCCCCAGCAGTTCTAAATGGTACCTGGTATCACTAACATCCGACGTAAAGTGACGAATTGAACACAGGTCAAAAACCTTCGATTCGGATAGTTTATGGCCCAAACCGTGCTGCCTTTCCCCCCCGTTTTCTGCTTACGGCAGTTTGTTGTGGTATACCATATTTCCTGTCAGGAACTTCTCCGAGCTAGTTTCCTTTGCTGAAATACTGCGCTAGCCTGTTGACATCACGTCTCACCAGACTGAAACCCCGTACGCTATTCAACGCCAACAAAAGCAAATATTAGGATAGAAATGATTGTATTCTAACACGCTGTTGACATAAAACCAAAGCTATTGCAAGGTATCAAATTTGGCTGCAGATTGTAATGTTCATAATAGTGGTATGTTAATAAATTTACGCCTGAACAAAAGTCCCCTAAATGTGCACGTATTATTGCTAAATGAAGTAATAGAGGGTGTGGAAATAATTGATTGCATGCAATTCACCTAAGAACAAATCCCACACAGCTTTTCTTGTCAAACAGAGATAGGGAAAAGACAAACGACTCGGGTCACGCGCTATGTTAATTGATTTACCTAATATCGCTCACCACTTCCGCCGTCTATGCTAATAATAAGGCATATCTACTTTCAACAGGTTTCTAATTGAATAGTTAGTAAAATCGATGGCGATTAATTGCATTGTCCTCAATTTCCATATTTTGTCTCATATGAACTCCTACTTATCTTTCTATTAGATATTTAAGATATTCTCCAGATTTCGTAAGTGATTATTCTGTTGTGCATACAAGCACATGTTTTTATAGTTTCCATCGTGTCCCTACGGTTTTTGCAAAATCAACTTACGGTTTCTCCTAAAAGTGCCATAAAACTGGGAAAACCGGGCCTGTTTAAATGTAGGTTAATCATTAACGGAAAGTGCACGGCCTTAAAAGGTTTTTGCGCAAATTTTACTTTTAAAATCAAATTAAAATCGCTTTAAATAGACGCCCCTGGCATTAACTTTTTCTTTGCCTAAACAAAATCTTAAAATTACTTGGAAAAGCAAAAGTGTACTTAGTTCCTTGTCGATCTCTTGCATTTTTATCATTTCCTAAATTCATGAGCATTGTGTTAGAGGATCCGCCACATCCTTAAAGGACAATGTTCATGTAAAAATCCATTTCTNCTCTAGTTCCGCTAAGATAATGCTGTTATTTTCTTCAGCACTTGTATTGGAGACTTCGTTGTGCGTACGTTTGGGTGTAGGCTCACCCTTCTTAGTGTTTTTTGTGTGTTTGGATGACATACATTTGGATGAGCTCTAACGGGCTGTTTGCGTCCAAAATTTGCGCAGAATCTCACGTCCCACTCAAGGCCTTCTTACGCAATTTCGAGTTCAGCAACAGCCGGTAAGCACGTACGGAGGATATAGGACATGTCCAAAAGTTTCTACGAATAGCCTGCGAACAGCGAGGCCGCAAGCGTAACTTGCTCCCCTCGCACGGAGTTAGCAAGAGAGACGCACGTTGTGCAAGACACACATAGCAAGCAATGAAGGAGCATGTTCCCTTTGCGTGTTGAGTAAGGCGCACGCCCTCACAACTAACGAACAAAGTCGAGAGCACACCGGGAATACGTCGCACGTGCGTCACCCCCACGCCTAGTGTATAAAAGGCGTGCTCACGACGAACGCTTGTGTCTTTACATGAACATCGACTATGTAACGTGTACAGCAATTTTCAACATTTTCAATTTCTTGCTCAATTTTGTTTCTTATATGCCTCCAAAAGGCAAGAAAAAGAAAATTACATAGTAGAAAAAAGAGAGGAAGAGGAAAGAAGAGGAGCACAGGAAGCAAAACTGACGTACGCCGTCAGTACGTCACCACAAACGTGTGAGGCAAGTGTGAAGCAAAACTGACGCAAAAGGGCACTTCTTTCGCCGCGCGTTGCATTCCCTTCGTAAGTGGTGAGTGTGTGCCACGTACACAGGAAGCAAGACAAACTCAAAATATTAGTACAATTTCCACGAATTTCTGCCATTCGCAAGGCGGACTTCCCTCTACCTCTACGACCTCCACGGCCTCCGCAACACCCAAAGATCGCAGGGGACCTACGATCCTGAAATTCGTGCGTCCGGTTGTGACCGAGGCTTTACAGCATGTGAAACATGTATCAGTCTACTATTCAATTCGACTATCCGTAAAGGCTAACCGGGTCTTTATGCGAAATCACAAAAAAATAAACGTTGGTCATTTCACGGTTACGGATAGCTAAATGTAGTCGGTCGCCTAAACGTGCAGGTGCGAAAGCTCTCTAATGATACCTGCTTCCAACTGGCTTGCTTTTGTTATGTCCCATCTAAAAGATAACCAAATAAATTAAACAGACTGTGACTGATGAGATCGAATTAAGTTCAGAATTATATTTAAAGGCACCATTTTCTTGTAAAAGATGATTAAAAACTAAAATAGCTTAACTTTTGAAACAGCACGTGTCTCGTTCGCTGATGTATTCCTACTCTGTACATACATAATTCATAACGTTGAAAATAGCTTACGATTATGATCTAAGCCCCAAACCTAATCAAAAACCTTCTTCTCACCTAAAAGTATCATGGACATATTTTAAGAGTGGTCTTATTCCTCAGCATTCTCATATTCGATCTGCCTTTAAACTAGTGTTCTGTTGAAATTGTTGAAACTTGTAACTGCCCGTTTTTTTTTTTTTTTTTTTTTTTACTGTCATTTTGAGTTTGTCCTTTGTTTATGTATTATTCGCGCGAAGTGCATTTTCCGTTTTTGCTTTTTTACCTTCTTTTTTTCCCCGCTCTCTCAGTCTCTCTCTCTCTAATAATTATAACGTTACATGCCACTGCACTTACCTAACCGCACCGTCACATTCCTGTGCCACACGCTGCATTAAACAATTCTCATTTCACAGTGTATACTGTAAGGTTTTCTCCCTATTTCTAATTGTTCACTTCACTATCGTACACGGAACTGGACCAGGGAAACCTCTAACTATTGCCTAGCTGTCTATGCTTTTCACCCCTTTCCACCCCTGAGACGTATAAATTCCTGTGCATTTTAAATTTCGAACGATTCCTGTCGTTCAGTATTGCTCATTATATCTAGTAGGACTCATGTGACTTAACCCTACATAATATCTTTATTCTCTCTTCATACTCAGCATAAACAACAACAATCAAACTGTATTTCACAGAGAGACAACTGCTAACTTTGTTGTTTTATTGTAATAAAAATCGTTTTATCGTATCTGTCAAATGTTATCAAGTATTCAAAATCATCTAAATTATAATTTATAAATGTCATAAATCATTTTTATATTAAAGTATTTAGTAATTTTAAATAACATTTATAATATTTTTCTTAATGATAACATTATTAACTGCATTTTGATACTAAAATTTGCTCTTTAACATCAGAATGGTTACATTTGGCGCAAAAATCAAAAACACTCCCACCTGTCGAAAAGGTGACCCATGGCAACTAATGCCATCAAGACTTGGCTACTTTAACTTCGGCGATACTATTAAATGGTGTGGAATATTAAATTTAGATGGTAGTGCCTCAGCTAGTCATAATGGTCATTTATCTGATTATTTCAAAATTTTGAGAGGTTGTCGCCAGGGCGACCTACTGTCACAATATTTTGGTTTTGTGTGCCGAGATTTTCTCAAAGGATGAGTGCTAGTAACCATAGGCAAAATGGCCATCGTCAATTTTTCAATAACTTGCTATTTTAAACTTTATGCATATTTTTGATGCGTGAAGAAATTTTATTTGAATTGAGGCATCGTTACTTAGCAATTTAATGAGTTTTATATTGGGGGGGGGGGGGGGGGGGCAGATTTACCTGTTGTATGCAATCTAATGAATCAGAGCAATTTGTTTCAGCATAAATATAACATAAATGAGTTTTTCTAATGAAACGTGTCTGGTGGTGTAAAAAAAGTTATATACCGGTGCTAAAGCATTTATTCGTTTCAATTCCGAATCCAGATGAAAATTTCACGAAGATGACAAATTCCATGTTTTTTTTTCAGTTTATATGGGGATCACAGATAGATAAAGTGAAGAGGGAGTTTTTTTAGGCGATTCTGAGCATGGTGGCATTAAGATTCTAAATGTGTCTGACTTTATAACAACTCTCAAATTTACTTGGTTAAGAAGAATTTATTTCAGAAGTAACATATAATCTTTACTTCTTCAAGCTATGTATGGTTGTGATATATCAAACTACATGTTCGATTTCGGAAACGCTTACTTAGACCAGGGAATTTTATCGGAGGGAATGGAAACGGGTGGTAGTCTATTGTCCTATATCTGTTAAGAGGCGGGACAAAGTGTACGAGTGACAGGCCAAAGCGACGGGGAGTCACCTGTGGAAATCAACGGGATAGTCCGTTATCTTGCGAGAATACGGGAGAACAACCCATAATTCAGCCCGTCATGCTGCTATACGTAAACCGAGAGAACCTCCAGCTTCTCGGCGAAAACCTCAGAAAAAATACTAATACTCCTTTGTTATCGACAAGTTAATTCAGAATTTGGATAACAGAGACCACATTACACACATTATGATCTTTAATACAAAATTTTCTATGAATTGACTATGTAAAGACTGAGTTTTCCACAACGACGACCAAACGAAATTATTTGGTTTACCTTCACTGTATAAACAACAGTGTCCTCTCAGGCCCAGTAATGCTCCCACCTAGGTAGTGGCTAACAGCACAGGTTACTTACGTGCTTATAGTATATATAGTAGTAATTGAAAATATGCACAAAGTTGAAATTTCAAGTTGTTTTTATTTTGATCAGAAGTTAAAATACAAATCAATGCTTGTAATTTGTTTGGCGTCAATACAAACTTACTTGTTTGTGATAAGTATGCAAAATAATTAAAACAGTGCAGTTCACATGTTTTTTTTTAAATCATGTCAGTGGAGAGTAAAGGTCATTGGTCAAGTACTAGTAAGGCCGTTCACTTGTACGATGTAGACTGGTAGGCTATGAAATTTGACTTCTTTACATACTGTACCATATTTAGCAGACGTACCTCTTCATGGGTATTTAGTATTATCATGAATAGTGCTGACACAAAATGAAAAGTCCACACACATTGCCTTTTTTTCTGTCATCAGTAATGTGTTGTTAATATTTAGTAGGAAGCATAATCTACTATACACTTTTTTTATCAGAATGTCATATACCTGTAAATTGTCTGTGTATTATCAGGGGCAAATTGAGGCAGCCCTCTAGGTCTTTTGGAAGACAGTCAGATTTTTAAGTTTTCATTGACGATAACTTTTTAATTTTTTTTGAAAGATAAATATAATTTGGAACACTGTCAGAAAATATATCTGGATCCGCCCCAGTCTAAGTTGCAATGGATGGATTCAATTAGTTTATTTAAATTAATTTTTTTATGCC